TTCCGCTAAAGTTGACTTATATCTGGATTGCATTTTTCTTGCTGACCTCACTCTATTGTTTAAGTTCTATACCCATTCAACAAGGTCGCCCCTAGCGGAAGTTCCTCTGGGGGCGATCAATATCGGTCGCCCCCAGCGGTATACCGCTAGGGGCGACAATAACGGTCGCCCCCAGCCGTACAAACATTAATATATACCGCTAGGGGCGACAATAGTAGTCGCCCCCAGCGGTACGCGCGTTAATATATACCGCTAGAGGCGACAAAGGGCGCCCCCAGCGGTACAAGCGTTATACCGCTAGGGGCGACAATAGTGGTCGCCCCCAGCGGTACGCGCGTTAATATATACCGCTAGGGGCGACAAGAAAGGTCGCCCCTAGCGGAAGTTCCTCTGGGGGCGATCAATATCGGTCGCCCCCAGCGGTATACCGCTAGGGGCGACAATAACGGTCGCCCCCAGCCGTACAAGCATTAATATATACCGCTATGGGCGACAATATCGGTCGCCCCCAGCGGTATACCGCTAGGGGCGACAATATAGTGGTCGCCTCCAGCGGTACGCGCGTTAATATATACCGCTAGAGGCGACAAAGGGCGCCCACAGCGGTACAAGCGTTATACCGCTAGGGGCGACAATAGTGGTCGCCTCTAGCGGAATTTCTTGTAGGGGCGACCGTTATTGGTCGCCCCTAGCCCAATTGGCTAAATTATAAATAAGCCTTTGTATACGCGCCTGTTTTGTTCCCTTAAAGTTGACTTCTATTCGGATCGCATTTTCTCGCTGACCTCATGCTATTGTTTTAGTTGAAGACCCATTCAACTTATTCTTAAGTTTTCTTTATTAAATATGCTTGGAAATAAGATCAGGCGGCTAGCACGCACTGAGAAATAAAATCATATATAGCGCCATGGCGCTAACCAACGGCACATGCGAGAATGAAATATATATAGCGCCACCTACGTTGGAAAGAGGAAAGTTTTGGCCAAATTTTTCCAAAAATTTTACCTCGACTTTTTAAATACGGCGAATTTTTGCATTTTGAAACTATAGTTGTTTTCAGTATGTAATTTCCTCTTCAAAAAGTATCATTATGTGGGATAAAACGCTTCCTAAGTGCTGTAATTCGTGATTTTCCGCTTCAATATTCCCCATTCAGAGGCACTCGAGCGTGAAAAAAGATCGCGGCGTTTAATCCTTTCGCCTCAATGGAAACATTTTATTGTTAACGCGAGATTCAACAAAGGAAATTAACAAAGGAAATAGACTCCCTTGCATCCGTTGAACACGCGTGTTTCGTGCTGAAAATAAGGATTGTACCAGTTGTAGTTAAGGGAATTTCACGATTTTAGTTCAGTTTACACCCTTTACCCTTTTTCAATCGAATTTCGATCAACTCAAACAGCTTCACCCAAAATCAAACGAGTGATTTACATCGTCAGACTGCGTATTACGTCTAAGCGTGCATGGGCGTCAACCTGAAAAGCCACGATAAGTCTATCTGACAGTTATAATTAAAAGGTGAAACCTAGTAACTGAACGTCCGTATGCTCTAGTGGACCGGCGTAGGACTCCCAATCAGGAGACCCAGGTTCGAATCCCACCCTTGTTTATTTTTGCCTCCCAAACATAAATTTACTTCTTTGAAAAATTTAAAGTTGTTCTGAGAATCAAATATATTTAAAATATTAATACTGACAAATAATGTATAGCCTGAGGCCTAATTTATATTATTTTTTTTAAATGTAATTTATTCCTCAATGTTTGGATCAAGAAATTGAAAACTAAAGGAGAGGCAAGTTTGGCAAATAACAATTAAACACAGTGTTTTCTGCAAAGTATTTAAACTTTTTAATTAAAAGTGTTGTTTAAAACAACGACCAAACAGTAGACAATAACTCAGGACAACAGGCATTTCTTGAGTTATCTCCACAACGAGCAGTGTTTTTTTTTTTATTTCATTAAAGTCTCCATCAAACACTCTATTGTTTTGGTTGTATTAAATTTATTGTTACATATTTGCTGTTGGAAATTAAAAAGCTTGCTTCCAACTTAAACAATTAACAGACAACATTTCGGAAAGATTGTTGCAACCTGACGCTGCTTTTTTTCTTCATATATCATCTCAATGAAGGTCATTCATTGCAAAAATGATGATAAGACATGAATCTGGGACTGAGAAACATTTCCAATTTTGTTAGGAAAAACTTAGAAAGTTTTCTTGACTCTTTATAGACTTTGTACACAACTGCTGAAGCGGCGTCAGGTTGCAACATTCTTTGCAATTTACTAGTTCATATTTGCTGTTGGAAATTAAGAAGCTTGCTTCAAACATAGCAAGCAATTAACGGACAAAATTTCAAATCAATGGACCATTTTTTCCAAAGCATGTTGATCAGAAGGGTGTAATTTGCCAGGATTGAGTGTTGGAACTTTTGAAGTAGTACAGTACATCACAAGTTCTTGCCGTGACGTCACAGCTTCATGTTTGTATTCACTTGAGTCTTGAGTACAAGGGCGGATCCAGGGGGGGGCCAAAGGGGGCCATGGCCCCCCCAAAACGAAACCAATTTTTTTTTTTTTTATGTGACATCGCAATAAAGGCAGGCAATGAGTACACCACCATCTTTTCCTCAAAAAAAACATTGGTTAAAGTGGTCAGAAATTGCCTCAGATCGCACCACAGAGCATCTAGAATCCAAAAAATTTTCGGGGCCCTTAAGCAGGCCCCGAACCCCACGCCGAAATTTTTTTGACCCACTTTTGGGGGGGACCCAAATTTTTTTTGGCCCCCCCCCCAAATTGTGTTCTGGATCCGCCCTTGCTTGAGTATAGACTTGCCTTTAGTAAACACATAAGTTTAAGGAGTGTGCAATGGTAAGAATAATTCCATGAGGCGACAGATAAAATGTTCCATTGCACAAGGTGAAGCCGGATGAAATTATTCTTTCCATTGCACGACTGTGAATCAGTCATTATTTGTTTTATACCACGCCTTAATAAATCCTGAAATCCGATTGGCAATGGTGAGCCTTTAATAAACAAATAAGTTAACGAGTGATGAGTGCAATGGTAAGAATAATTCCGTGAACGGGTTCCATTCCACGAGGCAAAACCAGATGAGGAACAAATGTTGCAACCTGACGTCACTTTTTTCTTCATATATCATCTCAATGAAGGTCATTCATTGCAAAAATGATGATCAGACATGAATCTGGGACTGAGAAATATTTCCAATTTTGTTAGGAAATACTTAGAAAATTTTCTTGACTCTCCATTGACTTTGTACACAATCGCGGAAGTGGCGTCAGGTTGCAACATTTTTTCCATGACTGTGAAACGTAAATTATTTGTTTTATCGTACCGCATCTGAATAAATTCTGGAATCCGATTGGCAATAGAGTGACCGTGCAATGAAATGTTCTTATATACCATGAAAGGGATATATAAAAATTGTGTTTGTGGTGCAGCCAGGCCACGGGTTGGGACATATTATTCAATGACACATGATCAACGACCCTCCAATCAGATAACAGGGATTTATTCAGGCGTTGTATGTTTAAATACTGCCCCTCAGTTTATATTAAAAGGCCACCTCTTAAATTTACAGTTTACAATGAAAAGAATGTTGCAACCTGACGCTGCTTTTTTTCTTCATAAATCATCTCAATGAAGGTCAGTCATTGCAAAAATGATTGATGATAAGACAATGAATCTGGGACTGAGAAACATTTTCAATTTTGTTAGGAAAGTTTTGGAAAATTTTCTTGACTCTCCATAGACTTTGTACACAACCGCTGAAATAGCGTCGGGATGCAACATGCAACTTTCCTTTACATGTTTCTCAACACATTTTACATTCGTATGTAATACAAGTCGTCAACATTCCACTATTTTGTTTTGAAGTGAATTCCTAATATAGCACACACATAAATACAAATTAAGTTCACAGTACTGGTAGAAACACATTGGTCACTGCATGTCCCACCCACCCTATATCAGTTGTAATTTTGAAAAACATAAATACATATTTTATGATCAAAGTAACATTCCCATACTTTGACTTCAAACGAGTACTGAGAGTTTGATTTCATACAACTTGCACTATGGTGCACAATAAATATCTACAATTCCACATTATGTACAAAAGATAGTTAATCAGTGGCGTAACCCCCCCCCCCCCCCTAATTTAAAATCATGAATTGCACTAAAACAATATATATCAGTAGCCTTCAGTGCCCCCCTAGAAGTTTAACCGCTGAATTAATCACAGTTATTTGTACAGGCGTGAACCATAAAACAAAGCGTTTTCACCTTCATTCTGTAGTTAACCATCTGTCCTACATATTTCTGTGTACAGCGCCACACAAACGTGTTTCGGATGTACAATACATAAAAATCATTAATCACAAAGTAAACCTTTACCATTCTTGTTCTTTGTGGCTCGTAGCACATGGCAAACCCCCCATAGCGTTTCTGTGTGTCCCCTTCGACTTTTATACTGTTAAAAGTAAATTTCAGGATCAAACAATCCACATAACACATGTAGTGACACTTACAAACCCTCCTGCTGTCTGAACAGTCACAGACAGTCAAACAAATCAGTTCTCTTCCCCTGCCATGCCTTCATACACAGGCTGGTCACCAACAGTCAAATCGCATTTCTAATAAGCACTGTTACTAGTCCAATTCCATCAACAGACAAAAGCCGGTAACCAGTAGGTACAGCTGGCTCATCAATCGCCTACAGTCGGACCACTGCTCTATCAAGTTATACAGTCAATCACAAACAGTCAATCCATGTAGCTAGGCAGGGAGTGCTCAACTGTTCAAACCAGACACTCCATCGATTTTGACTGCTGGGGTGGTTTTGTTGAATTTGCCAGCCCTTACTGTAAGCCTGGGCTTAGAAATGATGCAGCAAGCACATAGTTAGTTTTTGAGAATCGAGGGTAGTTTCACAAATTCTGGTGTAGAAGAGGACTGAAGAGCCCTATCTCTATCGGCTGAAGCATCACCCCTTGGTCCACAGCGTCACTGTCTACTAGCCTTCCTGTTCTGCTACCTTCTTCGTGTTGCGGACCCACCGCGGCCGTGCACGCTGGTTTTGGGACGCAAAGCTGCAAAAGAGACACGGGGATTCCTAATGAATATACCGATTTTTAAAAATGTATGCAGTTTAACCCAGAGCTGTCCGCTAGTCGTTTCTTGTACATTACCATTTTTACCAATTTTATTCTGTGGACTTTTTTGTGTATCTTCTACCGTTTACAGCCTTTACATCTCCCAGAGGTCACTGAATGAATTGTTGAACTACAAAAACGAACCTTGTGAGTAGGGGGTGTTAAGGGTGGTATGGATATCATAATGAAACCCAATATTGGTAATTAGAGCCCAATAACTTAATCTGTGAGATGCCTAGTGTAGGAGTCGAACCTAGTACACCTGGGAAGGCAAGAATGTACTCAGTAGCGTATCCAGCTTTTGACGTACAACAAGCTCAAGTGAAGCCCCCAAAACATAATGCGCACTGCAACGCATTCTATGTGACGAATGGAGTAGAATTTGAACCTTGTACACATGTGAGGGTTAAAGGAATTCATCACTGTCTATACCTAATCCATGTGACTCGAGAATGACTCGAACCTAGTACAAGGGGAAAAGTGGAGAAAAGCAACACTGTTGAAATGAAACCTCCCAAATAGTCAACAGGGACAAAACCAAATTTCATGTGATAACTAGAGTTGGAAATGAACCAAGTACATATGGGAAGGCTGTATGAGAAAAGTAATCCATATTGGTCATTGGGTACCAAACCCCCAACTTTGTTGATGAACAGAGAGGGATTCGAACCCAGCACATATGGGAGGGTGAAGTTAGCTCATGTAGTGGACATCCCTACCTGGGTCTGCAGGCCGGTTGGCTGGTTTCTTGGGATTGCTAGAGCTGGTCATCACTGTGTGATCATTGGTCATCTTAACGTCCTGGTCATGGGGACTGTTACTGCATTGGATGAGGGTAGGGGCAGAGGAAGGTGGGGGAGGGTAGGGAGGGGGTGTATTGGGGGGGGGGATTTGATGGATGGTAGGGGTGGGGTTTGATGGATGGTGGGGTTGGGGTGATGAATGGTGGGGGTGGGGGGGGGGTGATGGATGGTGGGGTGGGGTTTGATGGATGGAGGGTGGGGGGTTGATGGGTGGTGGGGTGGGGTTTGATGGATGGTGGGGTCGGATTTTGATGGATGGTGGGGGTTTGTTGGGGGTTTGGTGTATGGTGGGGGTGGGGGTTGGATAGTGGGGGTGGGGTTTGATGGAGGGTGGGGGGTTGATTGATTGTGGGGTGGGTTTGATGGATGGATGGATGGATGGGGGGTTGATGGATGGTGGGGGCGGGGTTTGATGAATGGTGGGGGGTTTAATGGATGGTGGGGGGTTTGATGGATGTTGGGATGGGGTTTGAAGGATGGATGGGGGGGGGGTTGATGGATGGTGGGTGGGGTTTGATGGAGATGGTGGGGGATTGATGGATGGTGGGGTGGGGTTCGATGAATGGTAGGGGTGGGGTTTGAGGAATGGTGGGGGGGGGTTAATGGATGGTGAGGGTTTGATGGATGATGGGGAATGGGGTTTGATGGATAGTGGGGGTGGGGTTTTGACGGATGGTGGGGGTTGTAGATGGTGGGGGTAGTGGATGGTAGTGGTTGGGGGATGTACCAGTAGATGGGGGAGGGGATGTCAAGATGGATAGGGAAATCAAAAGTTTTATAGTAAGGGTTGTGCATAAAGGGTGAGCATGGGAAATGAGAAAATGTGTGGCAAAAGCGTGCATGAATAAAATAATGGAAATATGGGAGAGGAGAGAGAAGATGAATGAGGAATTCAAGAAAGCGGAGGGAAGCGAAAAGGGAAAAGAAAAATGTCAAATTAATGTGATATTACATGCAAGCAATGCAGAGCAGACATTTGAGAACAGAATTTTGTCGCTGAAGAAGTGATTCCAGCATCAGTGATTTTCAGTATTGTTATCTTCAACAAAGTATTTTTTTCATGCCTGAAAGGGAACACTGAGGATAGTAAGACGTGCTTGTTGAGTAACTGACTCAGTGACGGACTCAGTTATTGCCACGTTTGAGTCGGGGAGTGCTATTGTATAGGATTACCCTATTTATCATTTATGATTACCCCATCATACCGATGAATGGGTACCTCGATCCCTTGTATGCACAGATGCTTGAAAAGACTTCCAGGGAACAGCCGAGTTACCGCTAGTTTTAAAATTTGGTGTACTTTCCTTATTCAAAGCCCCATCAAAACTTTTTATTCTACAGGGTGGTGCAAAAAGAAGGAAACCCACTTTTGACAGCAATTTTTACCTACTTGTTGAGGATATTTCAAAAATTCAACTTAATGGTATTAAAATATTTATCTTTAAACATCAATGACAAAAAAAAATGATTACAAATGCACATTTTGTCTCTGAGATATGGTAGTTTAAACTGTTCGTGTACAAAACCTGTTTGTCCACCGACAGCTTTATTCCATCCGCTCGACTGAGCTCTGGAGCTTGATTTGAAGACAAAAAACACTACACTAGACTTACATACTTATGTGGACAACAGTGATTTTGGTGAGTTGTATTCAAATTAGTACAATAACACTCATTCTTGCGATTTTTTAAAGATTTTTTCACCAAGTACGGTTGAAGAGCTATACTTCACTACAAGTTCAAATAAGTTAAGTAAGTAGGTTAAAATTTCTGTCAAAAGTGGGTTTCTTTCTTTTTGCACCCTACTATAAAATAACACCTGTAACTGCTTTCTTGTGACAAACACCGCAATCTTACTGAAGTAGTGAATGAAAGACAACAGAAGAGACTGCGCCAAATACAGGAAGAATTTTGCCAAGGAATGAGAAGACATGATCTTACTGAATGATTGTGTGTCTTTCTTTCTGTCTGAGTTGCTCATTCTCGGTGAAGATGATGGTGTGGTATGGCGTGGGCAGGTCAAGGGTCGGTAGGATGCCTCGGGCGCCTGCCGTCACCTGACCCAGTATGCCGTTGTAGACTAGCAGGTCATCGACAAGAAGCTGATAGAGGAGAACAGGGCAAAGGAAGGAAAATTAGTTACATTCTTGCGGAATTTTTTTGTTTTGTTTTAATCAATCATCTAAAAACTGGATTAAATATGTTACTCTGCCTTAAAGGTTATGTACAACATTTGCAAACATCAAAAAACAAAAACACCTAATTACTATGAAATACCTTGCTGGACTGCGAGTGAATAATAGTCTCAAGCATCCTGTGAAATCATGGCACCTGGTGTGCTGTCAATTTCAAGATTTGTATCAATTTCCAACGACGATTGGCCGACCATCGTTGGAAACAAAAGTTACTTTTTTTTCCAAATACTGCCCTAAATTAACCAAATTTAGTTAGACCACATTTTGTTTCCAATCGATTACATTTCCATAACAAGACAGCTAGTCTGACTCCCTGACTTGACAATTCCTGAAGTCTTTAAATTGCTTCATCTGCTTCATCTGAAGTAGGGTCAGGGAACCAGACTACAAGAATAACATTTTTGTTCTTGGTTTTTCCAGCTTTTATGAACACAAAACTTTAACCTGGTCAGTGTGACAATATACAAATACAACATGGTTTGTGGGGAAATAGTGAAAACTAATGACCCCGAGGTGTTGGATGATTGGGACTATCTGCTATCGACCCCCAAATCCACCCATTTTTGAAAATTACAGCAAAAGCAAATGTTGTATATTACCTTAAACTACCAAAATTCAAAGTCTCCTAAACTCAGTCAACCGTGTTATACCACTTTACATGTCTAAAGGTTTATGAAATTGATTGTGCTCATTTCCCCCCCCCCCCCCCCAAGAAACTCACCCCAAATTCCTTGACGCCTCTCTGTGGTGTCTTGCTGTAGTTCCACACTTTGATCATGGAGACAGCCACCGGCTGGTCAAAGATGATGTAAACCCTGTTGATCTGAGTTATTAACAACAAACAGGGAAAATGTTTACATTATTGTATTGAAGAAACAACGTCAATCTTAAAAAGAAAGTAAAAACAACATACGCACAATCTTAAAACAAAAATATACAGAGCCCATTTCTCCTATATAGGCAGAAAATCCATTTGCTCATATTCCATTAACCCATAAGCAACTGTAATAAATTGTAATACATTTTATTATGTATTGTAATACATGTGACTACCACTATATCCCCTTTCTTACCACATGAGGGAGTATAGGTGCTAACCACATGTGACTGCCATCTGATGTATCATTGTCAATATCCCCTTTTAGGTGCTAACCACACGTGACTACCATAATGTCATTGTCAACGACCTCTTTCTTACCACGAGGGAGTATAGGTGCTAACCACATGTGACTGCCATCTGATGTATCATTGTCAATATCTCCTTTCTTACCCCATAAGGGAGTATAGGTGCTAACCACACATGACTACCATGATGTGTCATTGTCAATATCCCCTTTCTTACCCCATAAGGGAGTAAAGGTGCTAACCACATGACTACCATGATGTGTCATTGTCAATTTCCCCATTCTTACCACATGAGGGAGTATAGGTGCTAACCACATGTGACTACCATCGGATGTATCGTTGATACCATCGATGAGTTTATCTGGAGTCCGAACATCATCTGTCACATCTTCCAAGACGTTGACACTAGAGGGATAAGCGGCCATGTCTGGATGAGAATATTAGTTAAGAAAATCATGTCTGCTATTAAACACTACGTCTTAAAAAATAATTTCACAATGTGCAAAGAAACATTTGTTATTAATATGTGATATATGAGAAGTCAGTAAGGATTATTGTTCGATACGTGCCCAATGTTTGAAGTTTTCAAGGCACAGTTTGGCCTACTCAACAGAACTTGAATGAAAGCACTTTCATTGTAACCAGAAATCAAGCCCCACACATAAAATGAGCAGTGTGCGATGATTACAGACCCTCTTGTACAAATTCATTAACTGTCTCAGTCAGTGTTGTAACAACAGGGCTCAGATTCGAGTCCATCTCGAGGCCCAATTTCTGTGACTCAGACTCGACTCGAGTCACATCAGCAACAGACTCGGACTCGCCCATCATGACTCGAACTTGAAGTTAATGACTGGTGACTAGCAAGTCACATAGTTATTTTATCAAGTTGTTTTAAAAAAATTATTTCGATGTTTATTTTCTGAAAGTAACATTGACACAATTGCTAATAGCAATAAGCACATGAACTGTAATAACGCATCACTCTTCAGGTAGTGTTGCAAATAATATATTTTTTTGAGGCATAATGTTCAAGGATACTTGTTTCTGTGAGTGTGATCTTGTCTCCGTTTGCATCGTAGAACTCCAGGCCATTCAGACCAACGTAGTATGGATCTCCCCAGGTAGAAATCAGCTGCAGCTGGAAAACAACTGAATCAATGACAGTTAAGGAAAACTTTATGGAAAAACAGCAAAGACATCTTTCAAGGTCAAACTATCACAGAGCTTTTTTGCTGAGGGATAGCAGCTCAAGAAATCATCACGTCTCTCCGTTAGCTAGTTAGTAAGTAACAAACGTCGACATGTCTACTGCTCCTACATATTGTGACCGATTTCAACCAAACTCTGTCAGAAGTATCAGTAGCCCAGCCCCAACAAGTCACATGACCAAACTGGGGTCAAAGGTCATCATGGGGTCACTGGGGTCAAAAACCTGACATTTGTACTAAAAAACTACTCCTTCCAGAATTTACATGGCACAATCACGTTACTCATGCATGAACATGAATTCGTTGGCCTGCAGCTTTCGAGATATTTCCAATCGAGCTTGTAGTTTTACATTTAAAGTTGCATTCCCAAAGCTCTACAACAAATTCAATTTTTTTTCTGTTAATAAATTTTGAACTTGTAAGTATTATTCCAACTGAAAAAAAACCTCCACTTTTTCCTGACTTCTACAACCCTCTGCAAAACAAGAAGGTTTTCGTTTTGTGCACCAACATATCCGCTTTGCTAGCAAGCTTGTTCCTCGTCCGTACATTATTAATGCTAATTGTGGGGCAGGAAGCAGCCTAGCTACCCTGCAAGAAGGGAATTATCGTCTGGCAGCCAATAATTAAAAAAATGTAAAGTAATAATTCAATGACTTATACATGGGCTGATCTTTTTTCGGTCACTGTCTCATTCAAAAGTGAATAACATTTGTTTTGCTAGAAAACTAGCAACTTATAGAAAAGAATCCTATTTTTCAGGTTGAAACTCCAAAAATAGCATGGGGAATGCATTTTCAAACCTTGCAAACCTTGACAAACTCCCAAAAGAGATTTCAAATAACGTGGTTCAACCGCAAACTTACTCTCATAGCCTACTGCGTAAACTTTCAAACCTGCAGTGGTATATGTTGGTATGCAAGGGGTTTGTAAAGCCATGTAGCGAGTGAAATCACAGACACAAGCAAATTCTCTCAAAGGATACAGCCACATGGCATGTGCATGGGAACATACTCCTGGCTGGGCTCCTCCATTGCAACTAGACTTTGCCTACCAGAGAAATCAAAGAAAAACATTAATAAGGAATAAATATGTGCTTGGCCGGTTTTGAAAGACCGGCACAAATGCAGAGTGTCTTTGGGTGGTTGTCATGCGTCGTCAGCAATGTTGTTGCCATGGATCCACCAATCAGGATTCAGGATTCAAGCTTGCTCAAAGGGCCCACTTTGCAATGTAATTTGTTTCATGCAGTCCTTGTAAATGCACCTTTGTGTCCCATTTAACCTTATTTTACATTTTCGTTTTGCAATTTTCAAGGGTTTTTGGTGCCTTTTTGTTTTATATGCTAATGTAAATTTCCATATTCATCAGCAAAAGTTGTAAATGTTCTTTTCTTTGATGATAAGTCGTTATGCCAGTACACGGCAGTAAGCTAATGCGTAAACTTTTCTCACAAATGTTTTCAATGAACACATTTTGGGTTGAAAATTTGAATACAAAACCCCTAAACTGAACAGTGTCTTCCTAAATGACATCACAGCAACAGCGCCCTCAGTTGTCCGGAAAGGCATGGACAGTTTTTAAATGTTTAATGAAGTGAAATATTCAATAAAATTAACCAAAAAGAGATGTCAAATAGTTTTCATACATTTAAGAGGAGTAGAAAATTGTGTTCTAAAGAAAAAGTCATCTTCTGGGGCCAATTACATGGAGCTGCTAAGCATAAAAAAATTTGCTTAGCATGAAACGTCTGTATATTGCTTGTGATTGGTACTAAGCTGCTGTTTGCTTAGTATGAAAATCACATGGAGTTTTGGCTGGTAACCTGCTTTTACTAAGCCAGACCTTTTTTGTGCTAAGCAAATTTTTTTTGTGCTTAGCAGCTCCGTGAAATTGTCCCCAGACTTTTTAAAGATAAGGGAAATGGATGCATCGATTTTCCTGTACCTCAGGGCTTCTGGCACCCCCTTTGCGAACATCGCTTGCTGGCTGAGCAGGGGCATGGACTTGTAATCACTGAAGCTGATCTCCTGAGCGAAATCAAAATGGCAGTATCCTGGCCCTTTCCTGATCAGGTAGCCCTCGCTTGGTGAGATCTGTCTAGTGTCCATGTACACGTGCACTATCTTAGCCTGGTGATAAAAACAAAACATGAGGTTCGCCAATCAAAAGTGGGAATATCTGCAATGATTTGCATACGATTTGCATGAATTTGCATATACTTCATGTGACTTCAGACAAGTTCTCACAATAATTGTTGCACCCTGTTCCCCCTTTTGTTGTTTGTAATACTCACTCCTCTGTAAGTATCTTCTGGTGTCTTATTGTAGTTCCATATCCTGAGTCCCGATGTCTGCACCTCCCTGCCAAAGTCAATGGTGACGATGTGATCCTCCCCCTCGGTGAATGGAATCAACCACATGTGCTCATCACTAGTGGTTACATTGGCACCATCGATTAATCTAAATGGGGAAAAAAAGTAAAATTAAAACAAGTACTTGTTAAATCTTTCTTCCAACTTTTGACTAATGATTACAAGCTTCATCCTCACCAACAGTAGTAGAAAATAACTTTAAATAATTCAAAGAAAATTTCCTCTAAAAATTGAAAAACAAAAATACAAAAATGTCATGCAAATTATTAAAACCTTTGTATTCCTAGTCTGACCTGCAGGTAATGATTAAACTGTAACTCTTACCAAGTTTTGGCTTAGGTTTCTAAATTTACATTGCAAATTGGATTCCTTATTAAAGGGAAGATACAACATTTGCAAACATCAAAAAACGAAAAGATCAAATTATCACCAAATATCTTACTGGATTGTTAGGGAATGACAGTCTAAAGCATCCTGTAAAGTTGTGGCTCCTGGTGTGCTGACATTTTCAAGAAAACCTGTATTTTTCCAACGCTTGTCGGCCGACCAGCATTGGAGAAAACTGGCTTTTTTCAAAAAGTGCTTCTACTTTTTGAAGTTTAGTTAGTCTGCATTTCTTTGCAATTGATTACACACCTGTGAAGACGAAAACCCTGCTAGACTGATTCTCTGATCTTACAATTCCCCGAAGTCTATAAATTGGTCCGTTTCATCTTAAGTGGGGTCAGGGAACCAGACTACAATAATATGATTGGTTTTCTTGATTTTCCAGCATCTACGAACCCAAAACGTGAAACAAGTCAGTGTAACAATATTTGCTGTAACATACTAATCCTCCAAATCCATTTATTTCTGAAAATTGCAGCAAAAGCAAATGTTGTACATTCCCTTTAAACGTGCTACAACCTAACATAAATCGTAAATCTTTTTTGCTAACCTCTTTTACCTATACATAAACATTTCCAAACCTTTTTATTCTTGATACTTTCCCTCCATTTTTCTGAATACATTTCTCAATTTGAAAAGGCGGTGCTCAGGTAAAATATACTAATGTCAATTTTGTTCATGATTTATTGACTAACTTGTCCAATGTCCTGTCGTCCCTTCCGTATCCAGGGAGGTGATTCAAGTCTCTGGGCTTAGCATCCATCATTGCCATGGTGACTGGGATAGCTTCCCCCTCTGGATCTAGAATGTCCAAGCCAGTCAACCCCAGGTAGTGGACGTCACCCCAGGTAGAGGTGAAATTCAGTTTCATATCTGGAAAAAATAAGAAGTACCATTAAACACCTGCCGTGTGCGGGGAAAATGCAGCTTTCTGAATTAAAAAAAAAATCATCATATAACCACAAATTTACTGTGACTAAATTAAAAGTTCTTCATTAACCCTCCTATGTAAACGTACATTCTGTGCCAAGTTGTCCTTTCAGTCAAAATCAATCAAGTGACTGTTTTCACCAGTTAAGAGCTCCCAGCCTACATAAAGCAGGATTGACTGGCTGTGACTGTTCATGTTACTTGATACATCTATGCTTTGACTGAGGGTGATTGACAAGCCAGCTGTGCCCACCAACTTGCCTGCTTTTGTCTGTTGACTGAGTTTGACTAGTCACAGTGCTTGCTTGAAACATGATCTGACTGTTGGTGACTAGCCTGTGTAAAAGGCATGGTAGAGGAAGATGATTGATTTCTTTGACTGTCTGTGACTGTTCAGACAGCAGGAGGGTTAATTGAGATTTACTTGAGCAAAGAAATTAACTGGTAAACTGGTTCACTGTGAATCATTAATGTCTTAAATTCCTTTTGCTCCAGAAAATATGTCTGAAATAGAAAAACTCGGTCACTGTTTCAAAAGTTAAATATTTGACACAGTGGCTGATACTATGAAACAAAGTTCCCTGTTGTTCCTATTTCAGATTTTTCTGCAAATTGCAGACAATCTTGCTTCATCGTAATTTGAACCTAGGACCTCTGGAAAACCATTCCAGTGATCTACCAACACAGGTATTGAGCCCTATGATGGTAGTTGCCCAGTTTTGTCAATGTCTTTGTTCAAGGGGCGCTAGTCAGAAGCCACAAACCCGTACATGCCCGAAGTCATGATGCAATGCTAGCAACATTTGTAGCAATGTTGCAAACCCGGGAAATGGCAAACGGGGACCAGACAAAGAAGAAACTTTCCTTGCCTGCTACTTCCATGGCCTAAGTTCCAATCCTGCCATGGTCCACAAGAGGATTGGGTTTTTAGTCTCTACCTGATTCCATGGGTTTTCCCAAGAATATTCTTCTGGGGTTTTTCTCCAACCTCTAGATACTGCAATTTCTTCATTGTCTTCTCTCTACAGGTTTCTTCAGGCTTGTGAGCTACAGTGCTTTGTGTGACTTGCAGAATCCTTGATTTTTATTACCATCAATCAATAAATACTAACAATGACAAAAGCCAACATCACCAAAAAAGTAAGTATCTGAACCAAAATTACGTACGTCTACAAGTGAATGCCACGTCTTCATCACTGCTTGTCCCAGTGACTCGGGCAGTCATATGAGGAGTAGGAGTTTGCGTCTCTCCCTCCTCATCCGCGTCCTCAGGGAAGAATCCTGAATGCTGCTGGTAGTCTGCCTGACCCATCCCCGGCTCATCATCGTCAGCCATGATTTCCTTGACGGTCTTCTTGTCTCGGAACATCCTAGCCTGGGTCATCGGCCGCTCCTGGAAGAGGAGAGAGTTTTGGGATGTTTTCCATTTTCCTTTTTTTTTTAAGGTTTCATAACCTATGTCCCACTCAGGGATAATTCAGGCAGTACAGTCGAGTCTCGTTAATACAAACTCATTCGGACCTAGCCAAATTGTTTGTTATATCAGAATTTTGTATTAAAAGGAACATCAGTCCCATTCATTGTGCACATAAATGCACAGTCGGGACTAAGGTTTTATGATTGTTATAACCAGAAGTTTGTATTAACAGAGTTTGTACTAACAAGATTCGACTGTATATAACATTAGTAATTCAGGTATGATATATATATAAACAACCTAATCTGAAAGCACCTACAAGGGACTCAGAACTGATCATGTAGAACCACTTGGTCAAGGACGGGTGACCAGCACCAACGTTTTATATCACTACTACCCACATTATAATACATTGCTGATCCTATGAGAAACATGATTGGATGAGTTATTGAACGATTCCAAGAAGACTTGACATACCTCTCCTTGGTCAGCTGTCTTGGGCCTCGGCGTCGCGTCTTCATCTTGACTTGAGCTGAACCAATCCTCATCAGCGACATACGCCTCGTCGTGTCTCGAGATCAACTCCAGAATGTCCTCGTCTTCCGTGAATAAGATGGTCTGAAGGAAACAGGTATCAAAGATTGTATAGAATGTACAAGTAAGAAATAGTTGGAAGGGGCAGATATTGCAGTTTGTTAAACCTGACACATATTTATAAGCCAAACGTAATTATTTCATTTGGTTGAAGTTCCAGCGCATCTTGGAAGTAAAAGTAGCTACCCTGCACACACACTGACAAGTGTCTATTTGCCTGCAATCGAGGACCCATATTGTCCCTCTTTTGTTTGTACTTTAACTTTTTAGGAAGACCTCTCATATGTTTTGTACACGATCGCTAAGTTGGGGACCTTAGTGAAATATTGTCCAATTACATGATACATGCAAATGGACGCGGAACGTGAAAAATCTGAGACAAACAAAACTTAGTGTACAAAAACTCCATAGGGTTGTTTAAGGGGCGTGGCTTACTCGCAAACGGCGATAGGTAAATTGGGCAAAGGAGTTCGATTTTCATAGGAGCCTGATCTTCATATGACACCGGCACGGAACACTTTTTTACTTACGTCCCCAAAACTGTCAGTTTCTCCCTCTGTTATACCTGAAGCCCTGCAAAAAAAGAATGACAATATAAAACCTTGGTACAACTGATGTACTTATTTTGACTTCAGGAATATCTGAGTCACATTTTTATACGTCGGTGACGGGCAAAACCTAATATTGATTTACATCACCCTGACGCAAAATTCCATCTTATGAATAGTTTAACTGCGGTACCCGCTGCTATGTACATCAGATTCGAACCAGCCAACCGATCCCACAAGCTCAGTGGTCAAGTGGTAAGACGTCTGCACTACAAAGCAGGAGGTCGTGGGTTCCAGTTCCACCCGAGTGATTTTTTTCCAACTTTCACTTGGGAGGTAACACACTGAGTATACAGTGTTTATACGACGATGAAGGGCAAAACCTAATATTGATTTACATCACCCCAACGCAAATTCCGTCTTATGAATAGTTTAATTGCGGTACCCGCTGCTAGATGTACATCAGATTCGAACCAGCCAACCAATCCCGCAAGCTCAGTGGTAGAGTGGCAAGACCTTGCACTAGAAAGCAGGAAGTCGTGGGTTCGAGTCCCACCTGTGTGATTTTTTGTCCAACTTTCACTCGGGAGGTAACACACTGAGTATACAGTGTTTATATGTCGATGAAGGGCGAAACCTAATATTGATTTATATCACCCTGACGCAAAATTCCATCACATTTTTTTATTCTCCTGGTTGCAGTTATTTGTTCCCTTGATAAGCATTAAGTCTTAATACTTGCCTTTCGATCTCACCCTTGAAGACATACTGGCCATCCAATGAGATATCGATGTCTCTGGCACCTCGGAAAGAATGGATGCGAGACTTGTTGTAATTCTGTAGCAAAATAAAACATTATCGTTCAAATTTTAATTTTACAAACCAACGTAGAGAGAAGTTACAATAGAAGTTAACGCAAAATCAAAAGAAAACCAAAAATAAGCACAAAAGCCCGCCGCATGGAAGAACTACATGCTGAGCAATAAGTCATTGGAGTCCGTTTGCTCAGCACGTAGCTCACAAAATATCAGTGTGCGGTAAATTTTTGCTGAATTTTCTGCCTCGCGAGGCCGAGAGGCAAATATCCATCCTGTTTTCTTTCATTGGCTAGTTAATCTTTTATCTCAGCACGTAGCTCAGGTTGACCGCACACGGTGAGTTTTTGGCCTCATGAGGCGAAAAAAATTAAACAGGACAGATATTGGCCTCATGGCTTCCCGAAGCAGAAAACGCAGCAAAAATTGACAGCACACTGTGATATTTTGTGAGCTAAGTGCTGAGCAAACGGCCTTGAATGACTTTTTGCTTAGCACGTCCCTCTCACGTGCTGCGGGCTAAAGAACAAGATGCAATTGAACCACTCATATAATACTCACTCCTCAAAATACCACTTGATACCATTCAAAGTACCATTCAAAATATCAACATTATGGAATAATTAAGTGCAATGTATACTAATAAAAAATACCTTTCAATATACCATTTAATACATCATGGAAAATACCATTTGAAAACATAAACTACCATCTTCATAACAACCAAAATATCAACCTCACCCATATTCTAACCAGCGCCACTTTGGTTGGGGACTCAAACACCACATGTATGAAGTGACTGGCGCCCGGCGTGTAGGGCGCCAGCCACATGTGCGTGTCGTCCCTGGTACGGTTTACGCCGTCGATCAGGTTGGACACCACACGAGGATCATTACCATAATCGGACAGGATGTTGATGTCAGGCGGGTCAGCTGAAATCTGTAGGGAGGAAACAGAAAACTTAAGCCAAAAAACAGGCACCAAAATGAAAAAAAATAAGATGATTTCATACCTGAATACTTCAATTTAATCAGTAAAAGTTGATGAAGTGGCAAATCCATTCAAGTCCTCAAAAACAACGTACATCAAAAAAAATAAATACAAACTTTTAAACCCATGATAAATAATTGACAACAGTTAAGTTATTAGCAGTTTTGCAGTAAACAAGCATGCTACTGGGAATCTAGAAAGAAAAACCAAGAAAACTACAAACCACACAAGACTTTGTACAGTGTTTTTCAATTTGGAATGGCATTCATGAGAAGTATAAAAAAAGCTCAAAATCAGCAGATCCGAGGAAAAGTTGCATTCCTGTATTGAGCTGAACATCAAGGTGCACACAGTTGATCATAAGTCAATCATAAGTCAGTCGCAAGTCGTTTTGTTCGAAGTCAACTCACAAGCTATTCAAATGAACTGTGATAAAGGCATTCCTTTGTTATTGTTCATCCACTATTACTTGTGACTAGACTAAAAGCGTAAAACAAATGAAGGACATATGATGCAGTTTTAAAGGAAAACAAGTTCGTGACGGACTAAATAGTTACTTTGAAATTTCAACTGCAAAGTTCCAGGCTAATTCATATTTACTTCAATGCGTTTTCCAACAACTTCAGACACATTGTCTCGGTATTATAGTCTCATTTATGAAATTTTTAAGACATAAAACTGGCTCAGAAAAGGACGCTTCTTATTTGCGATGCCACAAGTTTGGACAGCACAGTAATTGTTAGGTGTTTTGTATGCCCCAACGTTTGGTCAAACAAAATTTCCCATCATCTTTTTGATTGCATAAAAAATTGCAGAATGCACCACGTCCCCCATAGACTTGTGTGCATTCGTTTACCCTTCACTAAAAATATTCAAATCTTGTTATGCACATGCGTAGTTAGAATACCGATTTGAGAAAAAATGTTGCAACCTGACGCCACTTCCACGATTGTGTACAGTCCCAGATTCATGCTTATCATCATTTTTGCAATGAATGACCTTCAAGAGAAAAGTGGCATCAGGTTGCAACATTTTTTTCTCGATTTGGCTCGATTTCTACCCTGAGAATGTGCTTTCTCAAAAATATATATTACCTCTTTTCGATCAACATTTACAATACAGCAAATTTTAAAATATTTTCTTTGCCATCTTGGAAGCATGATGGGAAGTTTATACCATTTTTTGGTTTTGTTAAGACACAAACCTCAACGATGTTGACTGGTTCCCCGTCACTCTTGAATATCTCAATGCCGTTGAGACCAACGTAGTGCTTGTCGCCCCAGGTCGTGCGGATGTTGATGGTCAGTCTCTGGCCCATTGGTAACAATGGAATCTCAAACTCATCACTGTAAGAAATACAAACAAATATTTGAAACTCATTCAGCGTTGACATATTCTGTGTTGGTATTAACCTTAGCCCATAAAATAGTCTCCATGTACACTGCAGTGCAACAAATTCCATGGGAAAAATATATTGTGAGGTGTTCTGGCAAAATGAGACGGAACTGGGCACAGGCCGTAGTGGAGAACAATGCACAAAAGCGAATAGGGTAATTGTTTTTCCGATTTTTCGATTTATTGATATTTGTAATCCTTGATATGTCTACTACACATGTTTTAAAGAAATAGTTTGAAAATGAATGCACAGTGGTCTCCCTCAACTCTCCCTTGATACAATGCCTGTCTGTTGCCGACGCGCATAACAACCATCATCGTGTCTTTCTTCTATGGTGCAACATGCACATTTTGAAACCACCCATATTTCAACTGATAATCACGCAGTTGTAAATTGGATGGGGTTGGTTATTTAAGGTGAAACTTGGTGTTGGCAATTTTCCATTCCAAATTTTTTTTTTTATTTAACACACACTTATTACTTTCTTAAAAGGTCAGTGACCTTTTTTTCATGATGAAGACTAAAAACAAAAAATATTTATATGCCTGGAAAGCAAAACCTTCATACCTGCTATCATCTTTTGCTTCTTCTAGCTGCGCCGACTTCCGTCCAGTCATGTACTCATCGAGTGAATCACCTGAATACAAACAAACCACTGAATGCATTATTTGAAACATTCTACCATGTACTTGATCATGGCCCAAAAGAACTTTACCATGGTCCCAAAAGTACTTTACCATGGTCCAAAAGTACTTTACCATGGTCCCAAAAGTACTTTACCATGGTCCCAAAAGCACTTTACCATGGTCCCAAAAGTACTTTACCATGGTCCCAAAAGTACTAAAGTAACAGCACTCTGCCATTGTGTCCATATCTCAAAACAGAATATCTGAGAGAGAGAGAGATTGTATAAATCTTGTAACAACTAGAGACCTGCAGGGCAAGCTGTTTTTTTGGCCCAAACCCAGAAAGCCTCATCACATCTTGTCAAACCTACGTGACCCAAACGTCATGGCCCAAAAGTACTTTTAATACCCATGGCCCAAAAGTACTTTACCAAGGTCCAAAAGTACTAAACCAACAGCAACCTCCCATTGTGTCCATATCTCAAAACAGGTTATCTGAGAGAGAGATTGTATGAAACTTGTAACAACTAGAGACCTGCAGGGCAAGGTTTTTTGGCCCCAAACCCAGAAAGCCCCGTCATCTCTTGTCAAACCTACATGACCCTGGTGAAATACACTTTCAATTGTGGCTTTACTGCATTCCAATGGAAAACAGCATGTAACTGCAGCCGCTAGCCAGTGGCTGTAGCCGCTAGCCAGTGGCTTCCCTAGGCACACATGTTATTACCAGCCACAGCCAAATGATTTGGACTGGCGGCTCTAGCCACTCTGCTTCTAAACTTGTGCGTGCATCGAAGCATACGAAAGATTTATCCTAAAATACGTCATATCCTAAAATACGTCATACTTCTTTAAAAAAAATTAAAATCCATGAAATTTCGTACTCCGACTCAACCCAACTCGATATTTTGCGACCTGACCCGATCAGAAAATATCTACCAATTGAAGCAGTCAATACTTGTACATTAGACTTTTAAATTTAACATACCAGCAATGTCAGTGTTGACATTAGCCGAGATCCGTCCCATCTGCGACTTGTTGAAGAGATTGAGTGATGTCCAGGACTCTTCAAGGCTCAACTCTCGATTGGCACGCCACTGGGCCCGCCTCCTGCTGCCAATCGGCTCCTCCCCTAAATCATCGCTGTCTATTGAGAAGCCTCGCTGCCTCCATCTTGTGTCCTCATGCTCGTCTGCTAACAACCCTTCAAATGTGAAGAGGAAAAACCACAAATATGTGAAAAGTGTGTCATCAATTCTTAAAAAGCAATACAGTGGAACGTCGCTATACCAAACATTCGGCTATACCGAACATCGTCCTTGGCTCCCGATTTTTGTGTACAAAACCAACCGAGCATTGTTGTTGAAAACTTTCAACAGAAGAGCGACAAGTGGCTATTATTTCCCCGAGGCATAGAAGGGGAAAGCCACCCATCGATGTAGGTAGTAAGCTCAAAACTGTGTACTTAAATAATTCAATAGTCGGCACGTGTTTGAAGTTGTCTTTCAGTAACTGCAGGGTGAAGATATGAAGGGCGCCATTTATTAAAAATTGAGCACTGGAGCACCGGCAGCTTAAAATCGCTATATCGAATGATCGTTATTTCGAACATTTTCTGTGGATCCCGCGATGTTCGTTATAGCGGCGTTCCACTGTATTAGTGTAAACTTCTCTTTCTGGGAGGGGGATGAATACAAAGACTCCAACATAACTTACTCAATGATTCATCTTCCCTTTTGACTTCTCCTACAAGATCACTGCATGGTTCTGCATCGGGAGTATTTTCATCATCTTCAACACGTAAAGAACAAGGACGAGAAAAAAAAGATTTCCATGAAATTGATAAACTATTTTTAACATATAAACAATGGCTTTTGGTTACATGGTGGACATGAACATCAGGAAAATGCAACAGGGGCCATGGCTCCTCCCAAAATGAGCCCCAATTTTTTTTAAGTGACTTCGCAAAAAAACCCAGACACTTATGTGAACCCACTTTTTGGGGAAAAATTATTTTTGCTCTGGATCCGTCTTGCTAATACAATGTGGTTAAAGGGAATATACATCATTTGCTTTTGCTGTAATTTTCAGAAATGGATGGAATTGGGGGGTTGGAAATATATAGCAAATATAGTTACACTGACTTTTTTGAGGTTTTGGGTTCGAAAATGCTATAAAAACCAAGAAAAACAATCATTTTCCTGTAGTCTGGTTCCCTGACTCCATTTAAGAAGAAACAGAGCAGTTTACATATATTGGGGAATTGTAAGGTCAGGGAACCAGTCTAGCTGGCTTGTACCCGTTCATAGGTGTGTAATCGATTGCAAACAAGTGCGATGGTCAACTGGGGCCAGTATTTGAAAAAAAGCCAGTTTTTTCCAACACTGATCGGCCGATCAGCGTTGGAAATTGATACAAAAATACCACTTTCTTGAAAATGACAGTATACCAGGTGCCATGATTTTACAGGATGCTTTACACTGTCACTCACTAACAGTCCAGCAAGGTATTTCAAAATGATTTGGTAGTTTTATTTTTTGATGTTTGCAAATGTTGTATTTTCCCTTTAAGCCAAAGGCATGTAAAGGCGCCTTGGGCAGCTGTCATACGACCATGTCTGACCACAAAGCACTGCCAGAGATCAAAAGTGTTGATTTTTTGTGGAGGGAGAAAAGACTAGTATTACTCACTGATATTCCCTAGCCATGGTGGCCTCTTGGCTTTCCCCTTGGCCTTGTCACCACTGTTAGGAGAAAACCAATTCAACAGATATTAATGAAAATTTCAACAAAGAAATTGACTGGGGCAGGGTTTGAACCTGCGACCTCCAGATTATCTTTCCTGCACTCTACCAACTTTGTGGTTCATTTGAAAATTTGTAATAAAAAGCTGTGTCCTCTCTGAGTGATTCCTGTCTGCTATTTCCCAGGTCTGCATCGTGACTTGGGGCGTGATTCCTGGCTGCATGACATTCGGTTTTATGGCTTCTGACTAGCGCCCCTTGAACAAAGACATTGACAAACTGGGGAACTACCAACAGATAACTGGATAGCTCAGTTGGTAGAGCACTGGTACGTAGTCCGCAGGTCGCAGGTTCAAACCCCGCTCCAGTCAATTTCTTTGTTCAACTTTGAATTTTGTTTTGTTTTATAACTCACCTGGCCACTTGTGAATCCTGGAAAATCTGTGTTCAGATTTGTGAACAAGGAACAAAATATTCCTAAAAATAACTCTTGATGTCTTTGATCAAGTTTAAGCTGCAGAACGGAACTCAAAAATATCAGCTATTGACTTTCATTTTTTCATTAGCATTATAAGCAGAATTTGTTGAACATTCCAACAATACGTACGCTGAAAGAAAAAAAAGTGGAACAATGGCCCAGCAGCAAACCATGAGAGAAAATAGCAATGTAAATGAGACAGAAAGTTTTAGAGATGAGGTTATCTGAACAGAATACCTTTTGTCAAGTGAAAAGCAAGCATTGGAATGTACGTGAAGAATAAAACCTTTTTGAAAAACTGCAAAAGAAATGCATTTTAGGCTTACTTTACCATATTATACAGTGCTGTTAGATTTGTTTCTGAAATGTTTGCCAACAACTCAGCACAATTCTGAGATATTTTTGAAACTATTTTTGATATTTTTGTAATTCTTCATGCAGAAAAGTTTGGGATTCAAGGCAAAAGCAGCAGTGCATGTTGAAGGGCGGACCAGAAAATGTACCCAAAAAAATGTACAGAAAATGCTTCTGAATGTTACAATCACCAATTGTTGTGCAGAACAATAAACAAGTTATTTCGCAAGCTCTGCGAGATTATTGTCACACTTATGTCTACCACAAGTTAAAGGCATATAGGATCATTGGCTTTTCATGCATGATGTTCATGTTCAATAATAGCACCACTCAAATTCCAAAGAAGACGGTTCAAAACCCCAAGCTGTTCATCTCAGTGGATAGTACAGTTTCCAAGGGAACAGTGAAAAACCATGAAAAATCTATCGATTGCAAAACGCTATTTCATCCACAGAACTCTCTACGTGGTCAAGTCAATTGACTGATCATTGGAAATCACCTACATTTCTTGATTTCTTCTATTAAATGACAGCAAGCCAGACGGAATAATTTCACAGAGTGTGTACGATCTTTAATCCCAATAAGCTTTTTTTGTGTTAATAATTCCCTAGGTTACTTTTTGAATGAATGCAAATGATCCTATGTGCCTTTTGTTTGACCCTGAAATTAACAAACTGCATTCATGCTACCATGCCCAGCATTAAGCTTTTCCCCAATTTTGTACCAACGCTATCTTTACTCTCAAAGGATGAAGGTACCAACAGAACACACCAAAGTTGATTTCATTCATATTTTGGTTTGAAATGTTTCAAGAGTGAAAAGAGTTGAAACCACAAAATTTACGAGTCTTGGCAAGCCGGTTATTTGTGCCTGTTATTTAGATCTTTCCTTTCCATACAAGAGAGACTTACTCAGTCTGTTTATCAGAGGATGGGCGGAGCCACTTGGGCCTCTCTTTGCTTCTACAAGAGGCGGAGAAAAGAGGACGGATACAGACAAAAGAAAAACTGAGAAAAAGAAGAGAAAACTGACAACTAATGCAAGAAGTGGATGTCAATAGACCAATCCACTAAGCCCCACCTATGACCTTTCGACCAATCACATGCGGGTCTGGAACATGCAGTGTGGCACTGGAGAAGCACATATATTGTTGCCCAATATGTGTAGTGGGCGGGGTTTAATGGATTGGTCGATTAAACATGTGTAGTGGGCGGGGCTTAATGGATTGGTCAATTAAACATGTGTAGTGGGTGGGGCTTAATGGATTGGTCTATTAAACATATGTAGTGGGTGGGGCTTAATAGATTGGTCAATTAAACATGTGCAGTGGGCGGGGCTTAATGGACCGGTCTATTACATTGTAAATAGAATTGATTTGGAAGTAAAATATTCACTCAACAAAAAAACTACTGGCGTGACACTGATGAGAGTTTAGATGGTAACCCTTTATGAAAAGCAAAAGTTTTATGTGGTTACAGTGTTCGACCCACGTACCATGGTACCCGGGTTCGAACCCTGAAGGGGAACACGGTGCTTGTGTCATTGAGCAAGACACTTGACTAAAATAAGAGATTTCCCTTCGAAAATGTGAGGTTTAAGACTAACTGGACATGACAGCCTTTAGCAACATTATTAAGACTCAGTTCTACTTAACAAATAATTTCTGCAATGGCCTTTACTAATTTTCGGTCATTTGCATGTACATGCACATGTAAACTGATGAATCTGAAATCTGAATAAAATGGTCCTAAGCTTGTACAAACACATTTTGTACAATATTTGACTTTGATCTGCTGTTTTCCTGACGTACCCTGTTATGCTCTGTAGCTGTTTCATCATGGATGGCTCTTCCAGGCTCTGCTCCACCCCCTCTGACTGGGATTCTTGGCTGTTCTCGTTATCGTCTGGTCTCCCCTTAAGGACCACTGTGGCTCGGCCAGACCTGTGCACACCACAGCATTCAAAATGTATAAAACTCCTTTATAGAGAGGTGCTTACACAAGCTCATCGGGCTTTGGTAAAGATTTGATCAGAAAAAAAATGGGCTGTGGAGACTTCCTACTCTCTGGGCATTGTGTCCTTGGGCTAGGCAGTTTACTACAATTTGCTTATTCAAACAGTGAATGGATTGCTAAATGAGTTTTCTTTGATATTACAAACAACATCTGTGCCGCTGTGAACATCTCAGAGAATTTACAAACTTACGCGAGTCTTTCTTTGCCCGCTTCCTCTTGTGACCGTTGTGTTGGGGATTTTTCGGACACCCTCGGCGTTGCATAGATCTCAAGGCTGTCATCGACGGTTGGAATCTCCAAATTTTCCGTTGAGTATTTCAGAATCGTTGTCTTGCTGCGTGGAAATTCCGGCCTGTTCTGCTCTGCATCATTCCTCTTAATAGACTCTTGTTCAACAGTCCGAGAGACTTGGCGAGCGCCCTCTTGTGACTGGGTCGGAGGAGGAGTCCTTTCCTTTGCAAACAACTCCTTGTCGATTTCTTCGCTGACGCGTTTCGTGTCGTCTCGGCAACCGTTATTGTTCCTTTGCAGCGGCTGTTTCGTGTCTCGGCAGACTTGACTCGAAACAGCGGTTGTACTCTTTTGTTTGTCGGAATCCACGTCGAGGGGGGTGATTTGTTTAGGGTCATCAGTCCTTGTTTCACTGAGGACGATGGACGTCATGTAATCAAATACTTGATTGCCACAGCCTTTGTCGACCCGCCCCGCCCACACTAGACTGCCATCCATGAATACACTCGCATCCTTCACACCTATGCTTAGCTCCTAGTAAAAAAAACAGCAAAACAAAAACGGAGCAAATGAAAAATTGATGAAGTTTTAAAGGTACAGTGGAACGTCACTACACCGAACATTCAGCTATACCAGACATTGTGCTTGGCTCCCGATTTTTGTGTACAAAACGTCTCGAACATTGAAGAGCTACAAGTGGCCATTATTTCCCCAAAGAATAGAAGGAGATAGCCACCCACTGTTGTGGGTAGAAAGCTAAAAAACAACCTGTGTAATTACGTAATTCAGTAGTTGGCACACATTCAAAGTCGTCTTTCAGTAACTGCCAAGGCATGCAGGGTGGAGCTCTGAAGGGCACTCTTTTTGGTTGAAAAGTGAGTACCGGAGCACCGGCAGCTTCAAATCGCTATATCAAATGATCACTATTACGAACAATTTCTATGGATCCCGCGATGATCGTTATAGCGGCGTTCCACTGTAATATACAACGTTTGCTTTTGCTGGAAGTTTTACAAATGGATGGATTCGGGGGTTTGTATAGTTTATAGCAAAAATTGTTACATTGACCTCTGTATAAAGTTTTGCGTTCTTAGATGTAAAAACCAAGAAACAAAATGCTGTTCTTGTGGTCTGGTTCCCTGACCCTACTTCAGACAAAGGAGAGCAACTTATAGACGTTGGGGAATTGTCAGGTCAGGGAACTAGAGTACCTGGCTTGCACTCGTTCAAGGATGTGCAACAGATTGCAAACAAAAATGTGGACTAACTAAATTTGGTAAATTGGGGGCAGTATTGAAAAAAGTCCGGTTTTTTTCCAACGATGGTTGGCCGACCATCGGTGTGTCCCTTCCAGGGGGTTCTCGAAAGCAGTAAATAAAGCGCCCAGTCCTGGTTTTCTTGTATTAAACTGAGTCGACTTACTTTCAGGCTCTTGTTGTAATTCCAGACATCGATTCGTGAGATGCCTGTTGTTGCGGTATCGCCAGTGGGGATACTGAACAGCACTTTCAGGCAATCACCACGCTGGTATGCACAGCTCCACATATTCCTATCCTTTGTTGTCTGAAACCAGGAACACGATGTAAATATACTGAGCAAGGTTGTAATTTTGTTTTAATTTGTTTAGAAAACAATGATTTGCATACCAAATGTACTCAACAACCTCAAAATGTGCATGTGCATACTGGGGGTAATCTCATCATGGGGTAAACTCAGCACGGGAAGGATCCAGGAATCTCACCTTGGCTTTCCCATTGACAATGTTCTCCAGCTCCCCCTTGGCATCTCTGCATGCTGCAGTCGTTCTGATCTGGTCAGCGCTCAGGCTGACCCGCTTGCCCGCCAGGTCAAAGAACTGGACATCGGTCAGACCGATCCGGTTCGGATGACCCCAGTTGCTACTGGCCTCTAGCGTGAACTCATGGGTCGGGGTGGTGGGTGTGGTGGTGGCAGCAGAGGTGGTTGTGGTGAGTGGTGAATAGGGCAGGGCTGGTTGACTTGATGCGGTAGCAGCTGCACTCTGGTGGTCAAATACATTGCAACAGAACATTAGCATGTGTACTAAACACCGCAAAAAAGGGAAGTCCACACTCATTGGAGGGGTCATAATTTTAAATCCGATCGTCTTATGATGACATCAGTTATATAGACCTTTGGGGAATGTTGTTATCTACATTTTGATACCCCGTTTGCTACCTAAGACTGTAAATCGTCCCAGATTGACAACAGTTTAAGAAAAAATGATGCAGTTTTTCAACATTATATTTGTAAATTATTTGGAAGACGATCCTCTCCTGAGCAAGCAATTGTCAGTGCGGTGCAGAAAAAAAGCTGTCTAATTACAGTAAATACACGCGTGAGGCTGGCTTGTTTCCGATATATTGATTTGGGAAATCAATGTATCGAAACATGTACCCCAGCGTCCACACTTGATATTGCATATAAAATGCAAGCTTGAGGAAATTTGGTACCAGATTATCCTTTCCAGACACTGGTGGCTTGCTTAATTTGACATGTTATACATGTTTTTTCCAGTTCATTAAATTCAAGAATGCTGTGAAAAAATGGAAACATTTAATACACTGTGAGGTTTTAGCGGTACCTCAAAATATATTTCCAATATATATTATATATTAAGGTGACTTGGACTCGGACTCGACCTTTGTGAATCTTGACTCGGACTCGACCTGCATGATAATAATAATCGTAATAATCGTAGTGCTTATGTAGCGCTTTCCATCGTATCTACAATCTCAAAGCGATTTACAATTATTACCCCGTTCTTCAGGCCATGGGACCACGTGGCAGCGCTCAATCGGTCTTCGACCCTCACAGGTACCCATTTATACTCCTGGGTGGAGAAAGGCAATTGTAGTCAAGTGCCTTACCCAAAGGCACAAACACCATGTTCCTGGCAGGATTCGAACCCACGCACCATCGTGCGTGAGTCAAACACCGTTCTACGGACCATGGCGTTCTACTCGGGACTCAGACTCGGGAGCGGTGACTCGGACTCGGACTCAATGGTTGGTGACTCGAATACAAGTCTGGAAATGGATACTATCTAAATCTTAACACATTCATAACAAACCTTTGCTCTGGGAGCCAGCATGGGTGTAGTGAACACAGCTGATCTGTCCAGATCACCCTCAGCAGTGTGTGGTTTGTCGTCTGTCGCCGTCTGACCACCGTCTTGTCTGGGTGTGTGGCTGGGGGTTGTGTCGTCATCCCCTATCCTGGCCGATTCCTCGACTTTCCCCAGTGCTGCCAAGAGCCTTCTTTGCGATCTGTGCACGTGCAATGATTAATTAGTTTGGCTTTTGGTCTTTGCTTCAATGTTCCCTACATGTGGATCCACATGCTCGCTCTGGTAACATTGCTGAATTCACAGAATGACTTTTAATATGCACATGGTTGGAACGCCCTAGATTTAATAATAATAATAATTTGGGAGGATAATCATCCTTACTGGCAGCTGAATTGCGAAGCTGAATTGCGAAGGATGCGGCTACAACGTGGTTGAGCCGCTGGCATGTAAAGGCGCCTCTGGCAGCCAGCCACATCGACCCATATATGACCACAGAGCCCAGCCTGAGAGCGAAAGTGTTGATTTTTCCAGAGGGAGGAAAACTGGAGAGCCCGGAGAAAAACCCTTGTGGCACAGGAGACAACCAAGGCACAACTCTACTCACATGTGGTCCAAGCCGGGACTCGAACCAGGGCCACAGTGGTGAGAGGCAAGCGCTTCACGCATTATTAGCCACCCATGCCAAAAGCATGTAACTGGTATTCGTTGGACGTCCCAAGTATGTATCATTTGCACGAACCAATTTGCAATCTTCTTAATTTGCAGGGAATTTAAAAACATTGAGAAAATGGCCTATTACGAAATTGTTGGCGGCTGAGGATAATTTTGAGCCACCTATAAAATCACCGTAACTATATTTTGAATATAAATAAGACTGCCGCAAACTGCTTTCTGACTGGATTGACCTGAAATATACAAATCAAAAAAATAACATGGCCCGACATTCCGATCTTAAAAAAAATCTTCTTCAGAGGCAAAATGACAGAGGCACAAGAAACAAACATAGCATATTCGACTGGAAAAAAAGTTTAAGAATGTAAAAACAAAATCAAAAACAACTACTTCCAAGATTATTCCACCCTCTCCCCAAATGCACAGCTTGACTAAGGTCACTTTTTACCAGGGTAGGTCAAATATGCGGGGTTAAAGTTCAGCTATCCCTCACCTTGAATCCATATGCTTGACTTTGTCCAGCACAAAGGCCAGCTTGTGTTCATTGAGATTCTGTGAGGACAGCAGATCCTGAGGGGACGTCAGGGCTGAAGCAGGCTCCGTAGCGGCGGCAGGTTGATCCGTCGGTGCAACAGAAGCAGAGCGAGGCTGCTCTGTGACTTGAGACGGCCTCGCTGACGACATCTGATGACAAGGATGAAATATATTCTGTGATGAACTGGATACAAAATGTGAAGTTTGGGGTCCAAACATACAACTGATGAATACTTTTAGACCAGTAAGTTAAAGGGTCCATGCCATAATTGGACCATGCACTTTTTCTGAGGAATACATTTTATGCAACTTTCTACACCTCTTAAATGTACGAAAACTGTTTGATTTGGTTAATTTTATTGAAAAGTGCACTTCTTTAAACATGTAAAGTTTTCCATGCTTTTCCAGACAACTGAGGCCACTGTTGCTGTGATGTCGTTTCAGGAAGACACTGTTCAGTTTAGGGGTTTTCTGCTCAAATTGTGAACGCAAAATTTGCGCATTGAAAACGTTTGTGAGAAAGGGTTGCTCACTGACTTACTGCCATGTACTGACACGACGACGAATCACCAAAAAAAAACCCAAAAAACAATCAGTCACCGATTTTATGCAACCTGGGTGTATTAAGTGTGATGATATTTAGATGATCAGCATCAGTCGGTACTAACAAAATCAACAATTGCAAGAGTAAAAACATTTCAACTTCTGCGCCGGGAAGTAACATGCTCCTAACAATCGTGCACGCATCTGGGTCACCTAATCTTATGGAGATTTGTCGTAGTGTCATGAGTGAGGTGAGCATGGCTGCGATTATTCTGTGTCAAGATGCCGCTTGTTCCACGATAATGGCACGATTTCTCAGTTTTGTGACCTGAGCATGACTTTTGTGTTCAATACAGACGGTTCCATCGCTGCGCAAGCAAATTGTAGGTCGACCTGAGGCCAGCTTAAGTTCTTCCAAACCTTTGCTGATGCCTGTGGGGGTGCACTCCTCGTCCCACTGGCTCCCTTCTTGCTGGCTGCTGCCTCATTCTCTGCCTTCATGGCCCTCTGGATGGCCGACATGTCATCGGTTGCCTGCCAGTCCTTCTCTGATCGCTTCTTCTGAGACGAGAGGGGTCGGGAAGGGGAGGGGGCTGGAAGAAAGTTCAAGGATTGAAAAAAAAACAAAGAGATCTTTGATAATGGAAGCAGAGTATTAATTTTCGGAAAATGAATATTCATATCTTATGATCAAGGTCAATGGAGGATCTTCTAGACATAGAAGCTCTGGAATAGTATTGGAATCTTAAAGAGTAAACATTTGACACAAGATGCCAAGAATCATATGCAAGAACAATTTTATCAAGGGGATAATGCCAAGGACTTGTGGTATGGAGTCTGATCTCAAGGTCTGTGGATAATTCTGCAGGTTGCGGGTTCGAGTCCAGCCTGGGGTTAGGGGTGTGTGTGTGTCCTTGGGCAAGGCACTTTTGAGAGTGGTCAAAGTAAAATTTACACCCTTTCACTTAATCGATTGTATTTCTGGATCTAGGGACCCAAATGGAATGGGGGATAAAGGAGTGGATTGAGAAATGGTCAGGCTTTAATGTAATATATAACTTCATTGAAGAAAAAAAAATTACAAAGTTTTAATTATTTGTTTCTGAATGTCGCACTTTATTTGGCACACTCTGTAAACATTTCTGTATTGAGGGGAACAGGTGCGTAAAAAAAAGTTAATATTTTTAAACATTGTTGTTTTAAGAATTTCTTGTTACCTGAGGTTACTCTAAGTTCCCTCAGCTCTGACGATTTTCTGGAATCTTTCTGAGTTGCAGTTATGCTGGGTTTGGGTTGTCTTGTTGCCATGGCAACCTCATCTGCATCTGGTTTCCTCCTACAGTGAATGGAAGTAAGATTTTGAAGCCAGTTGATGAAAAGAAAGTGTTTCTAATTTCAGAACAGCGCCCAATTTCTTGGCTCTGCTAACCACAGAATTCGGCGCTAATGATCACCATTCTGCGCTTACTAGCGCAAGCAAGAAAATTCTGCACTAACCTGTAAGCACATGAGATGTACGCATGCACAGGAGCAAACATTCCTTGTTAACCCATGAAATACGCTTGCCGTAAGCTTGGAATTTTCTGCTATAGTAAGCAGGAATTTTTCTCTAACGGTAAGCAAAGCCAAGAAATTTGGCCCAGAACAAAGGCAGTACCAGTTCATTCTGAGTAAGATTCCAAAGACAGTACCTACAATGCTCCAAGTAAGCATAAAGAAACAAGCACAGCCTGTTGAGCTTAGAGTTGAACACCAACCAAAAACTAAGCACTTGATGTTTGGGCTGATATAGGTGTATATTAATTTTAAAAAGTAACTGTACATTACTTAAGAATTATGTTTGACTTACTTTGCTGACAGCATCTTTTGCTGCCTTGGACCTGTTCAAAAAGCACAATATAACATTCTGAGCCACAAAAAAGGAGACTATTTTGGCCAAAAACAAGAACACGAAAACAGCCTAAAACTACACAAGAATTAAAGAGCTATTTAACACTAAATAAATTAATGCAGTTACATTTCTAAAACTATGATTAGCAACCAAAAGGCTAAATTCTATCAGAAACAACGTTCAGGGTGTAACATACATTACACAAAAAATATTTTGCAAGAAGACAAAACAACACTCTCTAATGTTCCGAAAATCTAAAATAAATTCTCATACAAAGACGAAAATTTATGAAATAATTTTGTGGCGGTTATTAGGTGAAAACTATAACTTAAATAGGAGACTAAAATGTCTTTTACGATATAAATTTTTTTTTTAATGAACTTGAAGCACTCATTAGCATTTACAAAAAAATCTAAAACAACCGCTGATAAGGACTACATTCAAGCCAGCCCGACTAAATCTAGAACCCATCGGCTGTAGGTAGGTAAATCTTTGCGTCGTTATATATTTTCATTCTCAGGCAAGTACGCGATGTGAAAACAAAAGTGAATGAACAAGGAGACCTAGGAACGACAATGCCGGATGTGAACAGTCGTAAATTATATTTGTTTTTACCCATCTCCAAATGATTTGCCCACATAAAGGAATACCAAGCTAAAATTCAAACATGAAATTTTCTTGGGTTATGGTTAGAAACCATTCTGTTAAAACTTATAGCAGGTGAAAGGGCAACCCCGTGTATTGGTGCACATAGGCGGGCCGAGCGTGGGGTCCAGAACGACCTCGTTTCCATGGGCACGATCTTGCTGTGCCATGTTGTTTCCCATCATGCCTTGCGTGATCTCAACCCCTGGATTTGTCTAATTTAAATGTGTCAAAATGTGACACATTTAAATTAGGACTGCAGTCGATGCATCCAATGAGCGACGCCATGTTTAAAATGTTCAAAAAGTTTTTTTGAAGAATCAATCCTTTCAAATATGAGGTTTTGACGTCGCGTTATTTAGGAAGGATTTGTATTAAATGTACGTACCTCTTTCGTCCCTTTAAAACCGAAGCCACATGTTTTTTTGTGGCGAAAAACGAGGCTGCCATCATCCATATTGACAGGCATCGCGCAGTTTTGAAAAATAATGTCTGTATGTTATGTGATGTGCATAGCGCGAGCGCATAATAGGGCATGCAGTTTTCACAATACGCGCAGTACAATCTGAATAGCCATTCAGCATCGTTTACGTGTTCATCATGGCCAGGGGTAAGTGAAGGAACGCGCACGTGCCCATCGAGTTGAGGCTGGGTCCGCAACTCACCGCGCGACTTTTTACTTTCAGACTCTGTTGGAGAGATGCATGGGGCCTAGTGTATCCATCTATTGGGTCCTCAACCTTGACTTACACAATCCAGAGGAACTAAGAGATTGCCTACAACTCTGAAGGACAGCAGTCATTAAAGTTGTCTGACCTTTGTTTGGTGATGACGCAAACTCCAGGACAATCATATCCCCTGGCTCCAGCGCCACATCTCGTCTCATCTCCAGACTGTCAGCCATGATGTCCTCTTCAATGTCTTCATCTAATGCATCTTTGATGTCAGTTCTCGCCTTGTCTTCATCTGAGTTCTTATCATCATCTGAAGCTGCAGGACTTCCATCACACTGATGAAAATACATGTACATTTCAATAAATCAAAAAATATTATATAAACCTACCATCCTCTGAAATCATTTTTAGCAACAAGAATTGAAAAAAAGTTACTCAATGTAACTGTTGGTAGATAACATAAGTTGCTCACATTAGGGCATCCATATGAATTCTTTAGTACAACGAACAAATGTTGCAAAACCTTCATTGTTCACATTCTTTTAGCAGGTTAAAGGCCTTTACAGTTATAAAATACTTACTGCAAAACACTCCAGCGCTCCATATCGATCACGGCATGCAAATTTTAACTGGCGTGCTCTTCGTGCAATTATTTACCGGTGCAGTATGCAGTTAGTTGCAGCTTGTATAGTTTAGATTATTTGGTCAAACAGTTTTGAGTAAGCGAATACTAAATTATTCGAAAATGGACAGTCTTATCTCCTCCTATCGAGCCCCACTTAAAATTAACTCCAGCCCCCCCCCCCCCCCATTTCCGGAAAGCTAGATCCGCCCCTGGAGACAATACACACTTGGCATCATTTCATTTAGACCTCTACATGAGTGGAACTGAAATTTTAATTTTTTCAGACTTTTATTTGGTGCTGACCGTCCAACACTACCGGTACTTAATTATGGTACTATAATTAATGAGAACCTAAGCAATAAAAAGGGACACCCTTATACAGGAGTTTGTACAAATCTGAAATGAATTTTGAGATTCTATGGATTCAAACGATGAGTTTACAAATGCTGAAAGTGAAATCAAGAAATTGGCTAGGACCAAATATGACATACCTTGTTTAATAATAATAATAATAATAATAAAGTATTTATAAAGCGCTTTTACAAAATAGACCAAAGCGCTGTACAACTACAAGAGAGGACTAGGAAGTAATGAATAAGAAACTTTTAAGACGTTTCTTGAAAATGGTGAGAGATGGGGCGTCCCTGATGTTGATGGGAATAGTGTTCCATAATTTGGGGCCTGCTATTGAAAAAGATTTGTCTCCAAGGGATTTTGAACCTGTAGGAATAGAGAGAAGAAGTTTATCATTGGAAGATCTTAATCCCGGTCTGCCTGGTAGATACAAAGTGAGTAAGTCACACAAGTAAGGGGGAGCATTACCATGTAGGCACTTGTACACCATCAAAAGAACTTTGAATGCTATACGCTGCTGGATGGGTAACCAGTGAAGATTGGTGATGAGAGAAGTAGCATCCACAGTGCATTTGACAGAGAAGATGAGCCGAGCAGCACGGTTTTGAATTTTTTGTAGTCTATGTTTTTCACCTTGGGTTATACCAAATAGAAGAGAATTGCAGTAATCAAGCCGGGATGTTATAAATGTACGAACAACATGGTGACATGTGTTGTCATCGATGAATTTACGAATTCGCCAGAGGTTACGTAGGTGAAAATTAATTGATCTACAGATGGAAGAGACATGGTTGGACATAGAAAATGACGAGTCAAATATAAAGCCCAAGTTTTTTACAGTGCGGGAAGGTGAAATGCTAATTGGACCAGCGTTAAGAGTGAGATTGCCGTCTAGCTTGTTTAGTACACGTGGAGAGGCTGCTACAAAAAACTCAGTTTTGTCACTGTTGAGTTTAAGCATATTAGTGGCCATCCAGTCATGTATTTGGGAAATGCATTTGGAGAGGTTTTCAAGAGCAATTGCAGAATCACCAGGAATAGCTGGGTTGAAATGAGTGTAAAGCTGTATGTCGTCTGCATAAATGTGATATTGTAAATTGAAGTGTTCAATGATATTAGCAACAGGTTTGATGTAATATGTGAAAAGTGCAGGCCCGAGTACAGACCCTTGGGGTACACCAAAAGCTACCCTAGATTCATCAGACATGGTACCATCAACCCGGACGCGGTATCTGCGATCACAAAGGTAACTGGTGAACCAGGATAAGGGCATGTCGCGGACCCCGTACACTTTGCACAACCTATCAAGAAGTATTTCATGATCTAAAGTGTCGAATGCAGATGACAGGTCAAGCATGACCAGCAAAACCACTTTCTTGTTGTCAATGACTCGGAGAATGTCATTTTGTACACGGAGAAGGGCTGTTTCTGTGCTATGATTACATTTGTAAGCAGATTGGAGTGGGACTTCTAAATTGTTATGGGCAACATGTTCAATAAGTCTTTTGTGAACAATTTTCTCCAGTAATTTAGACAAGAATGAGGTATTGGAAATAGGACGGTAATTTTTCAAATCATTATGGTCAAGAGTTGGTTTTTTGAGGATAGGTGTAACAATGGCTTGACGGAAGCAGTTTGGAAATCTGCCCAAGGACAACGAATTATTCATGATGTTAGCCAGCATTGGAGCAATGCAATTGACACTGGCCTTAAGTAACCAGGTCGGCAAGGTATCCAGAGCACAAGACTTGTTGGGAGAATCTTTTATGATTTGGATGACCTCCTCTGTATGAGTAGGAGGAAAAACAGAGAGTGTGTTAACATTGGCAACTGTTTCTGGAACAATAACACGGACAGGTGGGGACGGGGCCATGCTATTCTGGATACCATGCCTAATATCAATAACCTTGTTAACAAAATGTTTGGCAAAATTATTAGCCATAATAGACTTATCACCAGATGGAAACGTACTAGTGGGTGTCCGTTTGACAGGCTCCATCGTATGTCAGCATTTGCTTCTAAACTACGTCTTAGTGTCTAAAAGAAAACATAAACAACAGGAAAATACGGATTAAAAGAAGCAGGGATATGTGAGTTCATTTATCTGTAACAGGGCTACAAATCCGTAATTAGCTTTTAACAGTGGTGATACCGGAGTCCTATATAGCGCACGTATCTACCAACAATTAGGTACTCAAGGCGCTGGAAATTATGTCTATTATTAAAGTACAATGTACGTACACAGCACATACATTGTAAACTGTTTGAGGGTCATGCCAGGATTATTATGGACTTCATAGAATGCTTACAGGGACATTTGGGTACTTGTGTCCCTAAGCTTGACACTTTGTTTTAATTGCCTTTATTTGTATGACTGGTTTTTTTTAACAAGGGTCATATATACTCCTAGAAATTCCAGGAATAATTGACATGACAATCATATCCGGGGTAACACTAATAATGAAAGTATGTATCATGTTATCGTCAACGCTTAAGGGTCATGAATCCAAGAATTAGTGTCCTGATAATCAGGGGTAATAATGATGACAGCATTTACCTTGACATCTTCAATACTCAGGAGGAGGTGCTCGCTTGAGTCATCATCATCATCATCATCATCTTCTTCATCTGTTACCCTGGCAACGCTCCCTTTCTTATAGTCTCCTGCATCTACTTCTATGTCGCTGACGCCCTCCGTGGGCCCCTCTAGGATCAACGTCAGGTTCTCCGTAATCTGCGAAGACAGAATTTTTGTAAAAGTCCTCATTATATCGTCCTATACATGCAACACAGTTGTATCTCCTAAAATGATCACATGAAACGCGAGTTTCAGAATGTCAAAAGGTTGTATCTCGTAAAACCCGGATGTACACACAAAGTCAACTGACGTCGAGATACGATTTTGTTGCACGAAGCGTATTCAATTGATACAATTTTGTTGCAGAACGGAGTTACGACCTTGTTACACTGATGCGGCGACACCTGACGAGATGGTTTGGCCTCTTCGCCCAGTTTCAAGGTGGGGGTGATGTATTAAAGGCATGAACACAAACAAACTGTTTACAAGTATAACTCTGGCTAAACTTTGAGTAAGGAAAAAAGCTTATACATTTTACAGTCCGAAAATACTTTGTCAATTCTTTAAAAATTATTTCTTGTGGTTGGATGGTCCCTTTGCCTGTGTCTATGAGCAAGAGGTTTTATCATAACTTGTTTTACAACGTTCAAGAATATTGAGCAAGCAGTCTATATAACTATACAGGGTGAGTAAAAAATTAAAACCCAAATGTCAGGACCATTTTTTAGTTAAGTTCTGCATGTAGCACTTTCAAAATCTAGGAAGTGAATGCCCAATTCGTAAAGTTTCTTTTAGTACAAGGATCATTCAAATCACTCATGTACTTTTCAGAATTTTAAACACAACCACTGTTTTAAAGGGAATATACATCATTTGCTTTTGCTGTAATTTTCAGAAATGGATGGAATTGGGGGGTTGGAAATATATAGCAAATATCGTTACACTGAATTTTTGAGGTTTTGGGTTCGAAAATGCTATAAAAACCAAGAAAAACGATCATTTTCCTGTAGTCTGGTTCCCTGACTCCATATAAGAAGAAACAGAGCAGTTTACATACATTGGGGAATTGTAAGGTCAGGGAACCGGTCTAGCTGGCTTGTACCCGTTCATAGGTTTGTAATCGATTGCAAACAAGTGCGATGGTCAATTGGGGCCAGTATTTGAAAAAAAGCCAGTTGTTTCCAACGCTGATCGGCCGATCAGCGTTGGAAATTGATACAAAAATACCACTATTCTTGAAAATGACAGTATACCAGGTGCCATGATTTTACAGGATGCTTTACACTGTCATTCACTAACAGTCCAGCAAGGTATTTCAAAACGATTTGGTAGTTTTATTTTTTGATGTTTGCAAATGTTGTATTTTCCCTTTAAAGTGCTGTCCACAGATCACAAAAGAGGTAGGCTGTTTGTTGTGAGGCGCTGTGATCGTTGTAGAGCGCCATACAAATGCTTGGTATTATTATTATTATTATTAGGTGTTCTTTCAGCAAAACAAAAACAATTCACATAGGAATGCGAATTGTTGACGGGGAGCTAACATAGACTAGCCACCCTCAAACCATGTTAAATTTGTATATTACTCTTCATCAATTACATAAGCACTCAAATCAAAATACATTAGCACTGTATACTGAGGGCTGTCCAAGGGCTTGTAAGCAAACATCCACAGGCTTACTTGGGTGGGACTCGAACCCACGACCTCCTGGTCAACCACAAGCTTGCTAGAGTCGCCTGGCTAGTTCCAATCTGATATAGCAGTGGGTACCACGACCAAACAAACACTGCTTTGAATGATGAAATAAGCGGAAGACAAACCTTGTCATAGTCCTCTTGCTCAGGATGCTCCTCGGCAGATGCTTGTGTGTCTTGTTGCGGGGGAGATGCTTGGGTCTGGGGCAGGGATGCTTTCACACTCTCATACATCTCAAAATCATCTTCATATTCACAATCTGCCTCATCTTCATCTATGGAGGGAAAAAAATAAATGAAAAGAAATTACTTTGATGACAAACTTGGTAAAATCACGGATCCTTTGTGCAAAAGGATAAATCACTTCCCCCAATTTCTGGCTAGAGGTGTGATATGGCGCTTGGGCATTGTGCGCAGGAGACTTTGCGCGCGACTGCAGTCTTTCATTGGTCAAATTTCTGTCAGGACGCCAGCTGTGCACATGTTCTATTTTTTGTTCTATGCGCAGACGCGGCATATAATAAAAAAAGTTTGCCACAAGCCAATATGACCTATCAGACTGGCGTTAGTATCTCCGGTTTCAGTGGCATGAAACGACTGAGAATATTTCTACTCCCCCTGGATGGGATGCTAGTCCATCGCAGGTTGCTCCCCAGCTAATGCTGGTACCCATTTATACTCCTGGGTGGAGAGAGGCAAGTGGGAGTAAAGTGGCTTGCCCAAGGACACAACATATGATCAGTGGCTGGATTTGAACCCCTGACCCTCTGATCACGAGTCACAAACCCGAACCACTAGGCCACACTCCCCCACCGCGGCATATAATGCATGTAGACAAACTGTTCCGTGCATTCTGTACACAAGCTCAGATGAGTCGTTGATCCTTGTGTAGACGATATGTGGTAAAATCAAGCAAAAAAGTGTGTGCACAGTATGTTAGATTGGCATCAGAATTATTGGATTGTAGAAAAAGTTTCAACCGACAAAAAGATTAGAAGAAACGTTCTGTCACAAAAAAAGGGGTCCCAGATCCCCCAGTCAAGGTCAAGTGCCCTTTTCAAAAAATTGCGCTTTTCAAAAAATTTTACCCCCCCCCAATAAAAATTACCGTGCTACGCCCCTGAAGATCCTATTGATCGACAGCGGGTCGTACATATTGGGCACTCTAGTGACACAATAAGTAGACCAGCGCTCCTGCTTGCATTTACGTCTTGGGAATAATGGAGTCACAGGGAAACAAATACAATGTAATACAATGTGTTACAGGTGACTTATATAACTCTTGGCAGATGTATTCCAAACCAACCTTTGCCCCAGCGAGACCTAACCCTAAGCTTCTCTCCTTTGTTGGTCTTGATGTCAAAGGATTGCTGTGAAGAAAACAAAAACGAAACGCAGATATAAATCAGTATTCATAAAAACCTAATACAGTTTACCCATTCCCATTGGTCGAGAAGCCTGTCATGTGGCCGGTCTTAAACGGATGATAAAGACATGGCTGGCTGGTCTAAAACACTTTTCAGTGTCACATGAAGTTTGGACTCCCATAAAATCTGGTGCCTTTTAACGTTTCATTGGTTGAATGTTCACATTATTCCTCACGTAGGCATGCGCATTACTACCAGTGAATCAGTATTTCAAAGTCCATATGTCTTCAATTCGCCCAACTTCAACTCCACACACACTTGGGCGCGTTCATAATCGGCCACCCAAGAACACTGTTCACGGGTCACCCAAGAAAGGGGGTTCGTATACGCCCTCTACGTTTGGTACCGACCTGTAGCCAGTTCCTCCTCTGCACCTTGCTGGGTGCAGTCTTGGCCCTGCTCGCCGCTTCTGCGTCTTCTTCTTCCTGGTAACCATGGAGACCACGGACAGGACGTCGAGGGATATCTGCAACATAGTCAACATTATGGAGTCTTAAGATTAGAACAAAAATAATATTACCGTACCTCATACATATTCATGATCGAGGGCCGAATTCTCACTGGTCCTTTCACCGACACCTGCCAGCTGCTATTTTTGCTGTTTACCAAGCGAGATTGAACAATATTCTTCTGGTGAGCTGGACAAGTTTCTCCAAAGATTTTATGCCGAGGTGCTTACATCAACAGGAAAATTTGGCAACTGAATATGTATGAGGTGTAGTAATATGCAAATACAGCGCGGTTCATTTTGAGTGGATAGTCGATATTAGCTCCCCTCGGTATTGGAAGTTGACAAACTAGTTCCCTCGGCTTCGTTCCGCCTCAGGAACTAGTTTGTCAACTTCCGATACCGAGGGCCAGGGAGCTAATATCGACTGTCCACCCTCGAACCATGTTATATTTGTATACTATATTCCTCATCCCTTGGCCAATATCCATGTACAAACACTATATCCATTGCAGTTTTGGGAGGTAAAATTCACCACAAAAAAATTCCATCTTATGAATAGTTGAATGCGGTACCCGCTGCTATGTATATCAGATTCGAACCAGCCAACCGATCCCGTAAGCTCGGTGGTCGAGTGGTAAGACATCTGCACTAGAAAGCAGGAGGTCACGGGTTCGAGTCCCACCCGAGTGATTTTTTTTTCTCCAACTTTCACTTGGGAGGTAACACCCACAGTATACAGTGTTTATACGTCGGTGAAGGGCAAAACCTAATATTGATTTAAGTGATTTGTGGTGATTTTGGTTGAGTTCCAAGACACACAGGTTGAGTCTGAGTCCGCAAGGTCGAGTCCTAGTCATTCATCATCGTGACTGAAGTCTGAGTCCGAGACACGGAAAATGGGATTTGAGTCGGACTCGAGTCCGAGTCACAAGTCATACAACTCTGGATCTTACATCATCTCTGCAAAATCTAAAAAAAAAAAATAGAAATCAGTCCAACATGAACAGACAACTGACCTCCAGCTGTCTGTGGTTTCATTGAGCTGGGCCTCCTGGGTGAGTGCTTGATTGGACCTGTCAGGCCAAGCTTCTGATTAGCCCCATTGACGTACAGGGAGAATCCTTGCTCTTTCTGCTCCAGCTGGATCTGTTTGTCATCCTTGGCTTTCAGTTTCTTCAACACCCTGTGGAACAAGAAGGGCAAACATGAAATTATGGCACACCAAATGCTTTTACTGCAACTTGGAAAAGGAACGCTGCTGCGTAGAATTTCAGCAAGAAACCAAATACCTGAAACAAAACACTATTTTACTTGTTTTGCTTAGTTTTTCTTAACGTTCATGTACTTGATTTTTTGTAATTATTTGCTTGTATGACATGTCCTGGTCAAATAAATAAATAATAATAGTAAGAAATATGTTACAATCCCTAGGAAAAGGAATGGGAAAAATTTCAAAATCTGCTTCACTATAAAAAAGACTGATTTGAAATTTTATCTTTTATTATATACAGGGTGCGTCAAAAAGAAAGTGACCTGGATTAATTTTTTTCTTACAAAGCACCCAAATTTGATACACCAATGAAGTATGTCTTAAAAGAGCATGTTCTTCCACTCATTTGAAAAGAAAATACTGAAATTGATCCATGCTGTCAAAAGTTATGCGTGTTTTACTAAAAGAACCTATTTTTATATCTGTCGAAGGAATGCCATTGGAAGCTATTGAGCTGAGTGAGAATTACAGATTACACACAGGCATCCTATTTACAAATGAGATTTTAATTGTTTGAGTCAAGACTGAAACATTGATTTCACTGTTAAATTTTGTGTTTTGAATGAGGAACAAGTCAACTCTTTTTTCCCCTGAAATATTGATGGCGATTTTTTTCCTGTCTTCCTTTGCAAGTTTTGGTTCATTCACGGAGGTGGGAAAACGTCCATGTTTCATTGTATTTAATGGGCATTCATCAGTTCATAGAACAGTAAATGATCAGTGGTGGACAGCTGAATTTGTGGTATTTTTATTAAATAGATATAACTTTAATAGAGTATGCAAGTTACATGAACTTTTCACAGTTACTAGTCAATAACATGAACTTGCCTTTGAAGTGGATGCAGTTGCCTTGATGATTATTTGCATTGATTTAAGAGATTCAATGTTTCTTTTCATAATTGTCATTGATTTGGCTTTTAAACCTTTGTTAGCCTTGAACAAGCTGAAAAAAGTAGTGGATATGATGCAATTTTGTGAGTTTTGTTTGTTCTTAATGTTTTATCCAATCGAATGACAAAGATCTACTTGGATGTTTTATAAAATAAATAATGAATGTTTTGCATTTGTGCAATGGTGAGAACAATGGTGAGAATATTTTCAATCATTGAAAGATGGAATGTTCCAATTATTTAATCTTCCAACTCATGAAAATATTCTCACCACTGCACTCATAAACATTCAACATTTGTATATTGTACACAAAATTGTTTGTCCTTGCCTGTTTTTCTTCTGCAGTAATAGTAGGTATTCATCATATTTATCTGGTACATCGTCCTTGACAGTATTAGTCTGAGGAGGGAAAGAAAATGTTTCATTATAGTTCAACAAACATTCCCAAACAAACTTGAATAAGACGATGTGCATCATTCCTACATACTTGGTCCATTTTTAACATTACTGCTTCTTCAATTTAAAACTGCTCTTTCTTTTTGTATCTTTTCAAACAATATAGCTACATTAAAACCCTCCCTCTCTGGTTGGCAATTTCAACAAGGCCAGCCTTGCAGTCAAAATAAATCAAGTGACTGTTTTAATTTTAAGAGTCGAGTGCTCCCTGCCTTCATAAAGCAGGATTGACTGGCTGTGATTGTTATGAAACCTGATATAGCTCTCTGTTTTGACCGTAGGAGACTGATAAGCCGGCCGTGCCTACCAGTCACCTGCTTTTGTCTGCTGATGGAATTTGACTAGTCATTGTGCATATTGAAATATGATCTGACTGATGGTGACTAGCCTGTGTAAAAGGCACGTTAGGGGAACAGGAGTGAATATTTGACTGTCGGTGACTGTCCAACATTTTGCATACCTGTCCCTTAGGAAGCTCAATAGGAAACTCTCCTTTCTGCCACTGCTTCCTACCTCCAGCTGAAAACACAAAGAAGCAAGAAACACAAAAATAGTACCACAAGGTCAATGAGCAAATGTTGAATGAAGCAAATTTGAAATAATCTCAAGCTGTTTCTGACCACTTCCTTTATCTTTGAATAGGAGACTAGGATCTATTTGGCAGAGGGACTAGACTAGCTAGCAGGCAATTGTTTTGTGTAGGGCTCCTGTTAAATTTGTATCAAAGTAGAGTCAAGGGTGTTTTTTATTACTCAAAAATGACCTTTTCAACCTAAAACAGACTTCTCTCAAAAGGACAACTTTTTGGTATTTTTTGAACAGTTTCTTGAGGAAGAAATTACAATTTTCCTATGCGCTTTACAGTTGGTGCCATGTGATTCAGTGCGCCTTGCGCGTTCACGGTACATCATGTACATCGGGCGGTGATCGCCATCTTTATTTTCATGTTGCATTTTTTTTGGTGTCATCGTGATTTTACCCCCAAATTTACTCAGTGACTGTTTCATGTAGTCATATGTGCCCTGCGATGTCTGACAGTGTGGGTTTTTGGCACGGGACACATATCACTTTATCAGTACATAAAACAGTCATTGATTAAGCGCAACTTGTTTTTCTTCAATAGTGACGTCACACACGCGCGCGATGAATTATGCATCAGTAATGTCAGTGAAATGGACTGTACAACTCGGCAGACACATTTAATTGTGAGCAGTAAGTTCAGACTATTTTGTTCTTTTTTCAAAATTACCGGTTGTTTGGAACAATTTAAGGGGTCTTATGGAACGTCATGAATGTGTGGATCTATCCAGGGTTACTGTCTTTCTCATTTGTATTCTCTTTATCAGTTTTTTGGGCCTTTTGTCCTTGCGAGGGCATGCACAAAATGCATACCATCATGACGACTGTGTACCTGTCACCAAAGTATGCCAAATCGGTGGAGCGTTTGTACGGAGGGTACCGTACTAGTTCAATGCTCCACTCAGTAGAGCTAAACCGGGCTTGTAGCTACACGATCATCGCCCTATTTTCTAACAAAATACTGTTGAAAATTCAGCATTAGGTTGCAGATCATTTTTGAGCAACAAATCTGCTTGACTTTAAGAATGAAAAAGACTAAACATGCTAAAGGGAGTAAAGGTGTCCTAAACTCCACAATCCGCAGTCACTGCGCATGTTCAATGCAGTGCCGGTATACTCCTAGAACTATGAGGCTCAACGTAGTGGAGCCTCATAGGTTCAGAACCCCGCAAAATTGTTGTCGGCACAAAACACTAATTAAGTACAAAAACGTCCATCCCAACCAAGCTTTTTCCCACAGAACCGCTGCACAGTTTGCCCCTAAACTCCGTACAATACCTCATGACATTCTCACGTTATGTGCACCCAACAAACATCGGTGGATTCTGTCGGTTTTTCGGCAAAATGATGGAAAATATGCCTTTTCCGCACTGAGCCAACCTGACACTTGAAATTTGCACGCGCGCAAAATGATCGCAGTCATATTCGGGTTCGATAGCTAGCTAGCTCGGAGCGCGCCGCGGGGGGTACGTACTCGCACTTGTACGCATGCGCATACTATCGTTCCGCTCCTACACCATACCCCCCGCGGCGCGCTCCGAGCGATCGGACCGAAATGACTGCGATCATTCTGCGCGCGTGCAAATTTCAAGTGTCAGGTTGGCTCAGTGCGGAAAGGGCATATTTTCCATCATTTTTGCAAAAAAAACGACAGAATCCACCGATGTTTGTTGGGTGCACATAGCGTGAGTATGTCATGAGGTATTGTACGGAGTTTAGGGGCAAACTGTGCAGCGGTTCTGTGGGAAACGGCTTGGTTGGGATGGACGTTTTTGTACTGAATTAGTGTTTTGTGCTGACAACAATTTTGCGGGGTTCTGAACCTAGTATGAGGCTCCACTACGTGGAGCCTCATAGTTCTAGGAGTAGTGCCAGTAGGCATACAAACAAGAGCGGGAAAAAAATCGGAGACCGGTTCACAGTCAAATGACAAATTGCAATGCCTTTTCAATTTCATTAATCTTAATTAGGCCTATGCAAAGCAGGAGAAGGTGAAGGTCAGGATCGAGGGGCAAGCCAACAAAACAAATTTAATGCAATTTTTTACTTACGTTCCATGCTTAAATTCAAGGCAATGCAACATTCACTGCAGCTTAAATCGTCTCTGACACAATGTCACCATTGTTAAGTTCCATTATACTGTGTTTTGATGATACCATTCACTCTGAATTTTTGTAAACAAGGTTGAAATTCCGTCGTGAGCATGAAGAAAAAAAATCGTTTACGATCACCACCATAACTACATCACGTTTGTTTGTTTCCACCAGAGTAAAAAATGTACTCCAATTCGACCCCGACAGGAGTGCGCCACCAATCGTTCAGTGCGCGGACACAACAATGTCTTTCCTAGACTCGTTCCCAGTCCCTCTATTGTTCTTCGGAAGGGGTAGGGGGACTGTCTTTTTGTCTTACCCTCTCTGTAAACTGGCTTCTTTATTTTTCAAATGCTTTTCATATTTGATAATGTTGCATTGATACACATTTCCCCCCTTCTAACTTTGTCCTTGCGCTATGTATCAACGAGATGTTTCAAGAGTAACTAGTTGCAATGATTAAAAATTTATAAATATAATTACATTTTTTTTTGGGGGGGGGGGTATTCAGGGGCGGCGGAACGGGGGGGGGGGGGGCATTTGCCCCCCCCCCCCCCAGATTTTCCCAAGTGCCCCTTTTGCGGCCATACGTGCCCCTGCGAGAAAAAAAATGCCCTTCAAGTATCTTTCTATTTCTTAGAAGTAACCATTTCCTAATAATGGTATAGATAGTTTTGATATAAACGAGGAATATGAAAACAAAGTCCCAAAAGCCATACAATACGCCCTGAAAATGGGCACAGGGGCACATAATGCATAGTAATTAGCATATAATCATCAGTTTTGAAGAGCGCCCCCTATGTTGGAAAATGGATGCACCCTTATAAATTTTCAAGATCATGCTGCAAAAACAAAATTCACTTTCAAATCGCCGGGCTTTCAATTTTGGACATCTGGAAAGACACAATTACAAAAACAGGTTACCGTTCAGATACAGATGACTGTTTTTTTATTTGAATAATTAAGGCTGAAAAAAAAAACCACTCAAACACCAAAAAATATGAGCTACTGGCCTATATTATTTACTTTGCTTACCTCTTATATTATAAATCCCAAAATATTCCATATTATTACGAGCTAAATTAATACTTTCTAAACTTCATTAAATACTAAATTTTGTGGACCTACACCATTAAATTCATTATATTCAACCTTTTTACGATGGATTGTACCAACACGAAATAATTCTAAAATAGTTTAAAATTTCTTTAAAAATATTTAGAGCAATAGTATAAACATATATATATATAATATTCATGGTGGAAGTACAGACCCAATATTTTGAACAACACATATACAGAGTACATCAATATTTTTAATTTATAATTAAAAACTTCGTTCAGTGACAGGATTGAATTATAGAAATCCAAGCCGAATTATTAAAAAAAGAAAAAGAAAGAAATATGGCAGTTTTTTTTAAATGTCAGCCGACAAATCTCTGCTTGTCAGTGTTATGGTCCTTGGAATGTATTTGTTTGTAACAAATATTAAATATTGAATATCAGCAGGCTATATTTTGTAGAAAGAGAACAGTTTTTTTTATTTATGAGGAAAATTATACAGGGTAAGATGATGGCACAGCAGCTCTGCTGTGCATGTGACTCGCACATCTCTTATGTGCTAAAAGGGGTTACAAAATTACAAAAGCCTAGTCTAAATACAAAAAAGGCTGCTTGGAGCTGCCCATGTCATTTTAGAAAATTTGACAGTCATTTGCAAATGTCATTTTTTGAACGGAACAAAGGGAGGTATCCTAAACTACTATTTCCAACAAAAAATGTTTACTGAATCAATTTAGCAAACTTGCCTTTAATCTAAATATAAAAGATTGTCAATTGCATTTATAAACAAAAAACATGTAACTTACTCTATTATAAACCTTGGATTAACAATTGTTTACAAAACTACAGTATCCTCAATTGGTACAAATACGTGGCCCATTATAATTGAGCTCATTTTCACATCATTAACAAGGCCATTTCATGTGATCCAATCCAATCAAAAGTACATTATTGTTCACCGATTGGAATTAGTACTTTACGAAGTGCGTCACAAAATGTGACGCTGCAACCTTTTAAAAACTAATGATCCATCCATAATGCCAAAACAAAATGAAATGCAACAATGTTTTTTTTATATAACACATCAAGTCAAACAGAAACGAACCCACCAAAATCTCCTTAAAAAATGACAGGAAAAAAATCAAAGAGAGACATGAATTTCTACGGTTGGTTGGTACTAACGTTGCACAAATCTGATGGTTAAACTGCAAAGAAATGTCACAAACATTTTTTAAGAACTGATTTAACTAAGCTACTTTTGAAGTTCTCTGCATTTTTACAAATCTTTCAACAGTGAATATAAATGGAAACAGTCAACAATTTCACCCTAATAATATTGGCATTCATGATTAACAATGGAAAAAGCACTGTGCATAATATTTGTATTCAGGTTGCTTGATACAATTAAACTACTGACTGGCTCAAGAGCTGATGAGGCTTTTTCATATTTACAAGAATATATTCTCTCACTTTACATTTTCAAAATTAATATAATTATCCCATATAATCATATTTAAAATAAGTGCATATATCTATATGTATATATATAACAGATTCAAGTTTAACATAAATATTGAATATACCAATAAAGTATCACTGAGGTTAAAGACAGAGGTACCATGGAAATCACACAGCTTTTACAACTCATTCTTGTTCACCTTAAAATTAAAACTAAATATACAAATCAGGATTTGAAATTTGCGACACCAATCCTTGAACACAGTACAATTATTAAATAATTTGAAAATATAAGACTCTGTGACCTTGGAACAAAATCTCACAATGATTAAAATAAGTACTACTATTTGATATATGACTACTTCTATAAGTGAGAACACAGGAAACAAAAAAACTGTATTAAGCTGTTTACCAACCGGAGTGACCTGGGATTTACAAATTGTTAAAGTCACACCGCCTTTTCGATCAAAGCAGAAGCTTCTCCCAAAGCAAAGCTTGTGCAAGTACGAATACTTTAACATAAAATTGAATTGACATATATATAAAAACTTTTCCATTTAAAAACTTTTCCGGAAGAAAGGTTAGTATTATTGAAGTCAAGGAATGAAGTACCATAAAGGTAGCTCACCTGATTTTCTGTACAAAAACGGGGCTTCCGTTCATTTTAAAGAGACAGTGGTCATAGCTAAGAGTACGCCGACTTTTTTTATAGTGAAAACAGCATGAAGGACATGTCAATGAGCACGTAGGCATTAGCACATCCACACTGAAGCAGCTGTAACATGGAGGTTGCCTGAAATGACATTGCACTTTTGCTCATGAATATGTAAATTAGCATTAGCATATAACCAAAATGGCCCTAGTCTTCAGTACTTTCCGTCTGTGTCGCGAGTCCATGAAAATTGGGCCCACGCGCGCTATGAATCTTGCTCCTCATCACGCATTGCGTTGCATTTATAGCAATGTCTTCAGAATAAACTGTCCATTTTTTGGGGGGGGGAGGGGTATTACGCGGAGAAATCAGAAATTATGGCAGGTACATTTCATTTTTATAACCTGTGTAATTTTCAAGTTTATAATTTTATAAATTTGGCTTTTAGGTTGCCGTCCTGTCGATGTTTTTGTCCACGTTGTAAGAGTCACGTATCAAGCAAGTATCAAGTGCTGTCTTTAGCCAGTATGTTGTACCGTTTGGATATACATGTATTGATTATTGAGAAATCTGTCATCGACGGACCCTAGTTTTGAGTCCCGCCCAACTCTCTCCTTGTGACCAAGCGAGGGAGTACTTGTGCACGGAGTCCATTGGCCATGAAGGCTTCCATTAGACTTCCTCCGTCGACAACGTGACTGCGTGATTGACCTGCCCAGCCTCTCTGACACTGAGCCCTGACAACATCCGCTGAAGGGAAGGATTGGCGTCTGCCTCCTCCTCATCGCTACGCTGCATCTTGGCAAACTGAATAAACACCTGCGACAATAACCAAACAAGATACACATCAAATTCAATTAGTGGTCACCTTTAATTCAATTTCCATTTCACTTGTTTTTGTGGGCGGGGGGATGCTAAATCTTTACATCTCTGCTTTTATGTTACCTGCTAAGTCACATCCTTAACCCTAACTCCCTGGTGTCTTTTACTAAGTACTGGACCAATTCTGCCAAAATCCATCACTGACCCTGCTTCACAGAATGCATCAGGACCAAGTCCGCTGAAATCAACCACAAGACCACCACTGCTACAGGTGGATTTGGATGGACAAGGTACAGATGGCTTGTCTACCAAAATCCCCAAAATGGGGGAATGGATTTTGATGGATTCGGGGTGGTTGTTTTAATAATACTTTTGGGGGCTAAGCATTTCTACTCTCTGCAGGAGCTGAATTGCAAAGGACGCGGCTACAACGTGGTCGAGCCGCAGGCATACGGGTTAAGGCACCTTAGGCTGCCGCCATGCGATCCATGTCTGACCATGGAGCACAGCCAGATCAAATGTGTTGATCTTTGCAGAGAGAGGAAAAATGGAAAGCCTGGAGAAAAACCCTCGTGGCACAGAAGAGAATCAATGCACAACTCTACTCATATTTGGTCCGCGCCGGGAATCGAACCCAGCCCACAGTGGTAAGAGGCGCGCACTTTATAACAGTAATAATAATGATTTGGGAGGCTAATCATCCTAACTCGCAGCTGGTATGCTGCATTGCGAAGGACGCGGCTACAACATGGTTGGGCCGCTGGCACGTAAAGGGGCTTATGGCTGCCGGCCACATGGACCCAGGACCACGGAGCACAGCCTGAGATCGAAAGTGTTTGATTTTTCCGGAGGGAGGAAAACCAGAGAGCCCGGAGAAGAACCCTCGTTTCACAGGAGAGAACCAACGCACAACTCTCCTCACATGTGATCCGCGGCCAGGATTCGAACCGTGGTCACCTTGGTGAGAGGCGAGCGCTTAACGCACAAGCCACCCATGCCACTTTACGCATTAGTTACCCATGCAACCCTGTTTTCGGATTCAATGTTTCAGCTTAAAGCGACTTTTTGTCTAGGAACCATTGTGGATTCTATAAAATAAGAACAATTATTTTCTGTACCTGTTCTAGAGTGGCCTGGCTGAAGCTATACTCCTCAATATGAAGCGTCTCTTTACCTGCAATGAACCAATGGGATTTTTCAAGTGGAAGTTTTGTACAAAAACAACATAGATAAATATCCTCTTTTCATCTTTATCTATTGAGGAACCAATCTCAATAAAATATCCGGGAAATAGTTTATCAGCAATATGCCCACTGCATCAGGTGTTTATATGTTGCAGGATTCTTAACATCCTTGTCAGAATTTTCCACAAATAAGTTATTAGCATACTTTACAAATTGATAACTTCATTGTGTGAGCGTAACTCCAAACATACATACAAATGAAGTTGTCTTTCCCCAAATGATCTTCAAGTAAGCTACCATTGGACTGAAGGTTAGGCTGTTTTGCCATGGAAACCAACAAACTTTGGACAAATTTCAAGAGGAGGGGGGAGACAGGTCATGCTATCTTCACAACCACATACCATTTGACTTTCAAACTTTCAGAAAAATGTAAAAAGCGCCCTCAATATGTCAACATTGAGGGCGCTAAATATATATATAATATTCAATATACATATTGAATATATCTTCACAACCACACCCCATATAACTTTCAAACTTTCAGAAACGTAAAGAGCGCCCTCAGTATGTCTAGAAGTGGTCTTATCTCGAAAACTCGAAATTTCGAGTTACGCTGTTTTGCCATCAAAGGGCCGAGTATTTGAACACCCAGGGGTCGATTTCACAAAACTCATTGTAACCTACGATGCATCGTAAGGTTACGATGTGTCTTAGCCCTGCGATCAATCTCAGCTGCGATGGATCGTAAAGTTACGATGTGTCTTAGCCCTGCTATCAATTTTAGCTGCGATGCATCGTACAAACCATTTCACCAAACTCATTGTAACAGCGATGCATGTCAAAACTTTTTTAGCATATTACAGTGACTGTTTCATGTTTGTGGTATCTGAACAGGAAACAGTCGTCAAGTAACCACCAAAGAATCGTTGGATTTCTCTAAGAAAAAGTTTCAAGTTGCAAACAAAATGGCAGTCGATATAGTTAATTTGCGGACAAAACAATGCTCGAAACAAACAGTTGATTCGACTGGAATTTTCTGCTTAGGTATTAAAGTCACATGTATGTAACAGTAATTTACATAGATAATTTAACAAACATTATCACATGATGTTGGACTTCTTTTTTTCACTTGTCATGCCATTAAAACTGGCTTCGAAAAGACACTTCATAACTTACGGCGACCCACAGACACGTCTTAACTTACGGTGTGTTCCATGCTGTTGTCAAGGAACTTACGACGCGTTCAACTCATCGCAAGTTTTGTGAAATGGATTATACGATGTGTCGTGAGTTGCGACGTGTAACACATCGTAACTCGAGTTGTGCTTCGTGAAATCGGGTGCAGGTGGGGTAAGGGTTAATGTCCCTTATTTCCAAAATTAGAGATTATTCACCTTCTTCTAGGGTCGCAAAGACCGTGGACAGCGAGATGGCGGCATCGCTGGGTACCCTGTATGCGACCCGCTCCCCGAATGTCTCCGTAACCTCAGCGCTGGGAAACACTTCCTTGATCGTGACGTCCAACGCCGCCAGCATATCGTCCAGGAGTTGGGTGGCCCGGCCGCTGGTGTGATCCATGGAGTAGTAGGCTGGTCCCGGGTTCAGCTTGACTTCTAGGACGTAACCGCCGCCGTACTTGCCCTTCAGATGTTGAGTCGTTCCAAGACACCTAAAATGCGATGGTTAATTATTACTAGAGGTGAAACTAGAGGTGTTTAAGACTAATACCGTTATTCATCGTCATCATACCAGACAGTCTAGGGATTTCCATATCCCACACATACGTACTGCTAAAGCTAAAAACTTCATTCATTATCAGGGCCCCAAATTGTGGAACTCATTAAATCAAACTCTGAGAATTGTCAACAGTAGGCCTTTATTTAAGAAGAGGCTAAAGTCTCTGCTTATGGAAAGTTACAATAATGCTTAATGCTTAATTTTAGTTTTACTTATTATTTGCTGTGAACATATTCTTCTAATAATTTCCCACGTAGGTTCTGATTGTACTTGATTTGTTTTGTCTTGTCCTGTTTGTGTTGGTCCCTTGTATATGTGTGTTTGTGTAACTTAAACTCCATTGTGTAGTTAAGTTAAAGGTACAAATGTATTTAATATATATTTTTTTCTACACATAATGGGCTTCTCCACTTGACAAGCTTGCTTTTTGGAGAAGCCCACCGCTTAATCTTATCCTGTTATCTAAATTATTGTTTAAACCGTTTCCCTTCAAAATGATTAAGTGGAAATAAATATGAATATGAATGAATATGAATAACGATACTTTCGTTACGCTACAACATGCATCATGAAACTGAGTTCACAAGACAACAGTGTTGTAGGCAAGGTAGTTGTGATAGGTCAGCGGACATCACAAGTCAATCATAAGTCATCACAAGTCAATCATAAGTCACAAGACGAAAATGGCCTCAATAGGGTACTTTTTTTAATTTGGCAGCAGCCTCACTCACTTCAACTGTCCAGAAACCATGATTCCAACGCGAGAGCACACCGCGTCTGCCTCCTCCATGGAATGCGTCGTCAAGATGGCGCCTCGGTCGTCACGGAAACTCGATATGATAGTGTTCCTGTCAGGACAAAAGAGTGATTTACTAAACACAATTCTTGCTCACAGCTTGTATAAATATCACAAGAACTGCCATTCATTTCACAAGTGAAATCACAAATCAATCATGAAATTTCAACAGAATTTGAGAGTTTGATTGATAATTTGACCTCCAGAAAATGTCTTTGATCGTGATAGAGTACCATCACGGTTGATGGTTCAAATTCTGCTGCAGCTCATTAACTGAAAATCTCTGGGAGATTTAGCTAGAGAGAGAGAGAGAAATTGACTAATTGAGAGAAATGATGTCAGGCTTTGTTTACATGTGCGCTTTTATAGGAAAGCGCTCATGTAAACAAAGCGTGACGTCATAAGGTCTTAGATCTATTGACTAGAAACGGATTTGAATCTGTGACCTCCGGAATGTTGTCTGTTGTACAGGAGGTGCAGGTTCACATCCCGCTAGAGTCAACTTACTGCATATTATTTGCAGATCAGCAAAAGACAGAAATTGAATGGAGTAGGATTTGAACCTCTTACCTCCAGAATGCCATCTTTGGTTCAAAGTTGTGCAATGTTTCCCATGGTACATTTTCAAATTCAGGTTTCCCACAGAAATCTTTAACTGAAACTCCACGACTTATCCACGACTTTCCAAGGATAAAATTAGGGCTTTCCATGTCGAATTCCTACACTGTTATGGCAGCCTATTAAAAAAAATACACTGGCCATTTATCACACTGAGGCAAGGGACGCCTTGCTTAAGATTTTGTGGGCTTTTGTTGTTTCAAACGAAAAAAAAATTCACAAATTACAAAAGATCTACCTGACATTTAAATTTCGATTTGGTCAACTTACCAGACAAATCTCTTGGAGCTTGGATCCATGCCAGTTGAAGGCTCATCCATCAAGACTATCTTGGGCCTTCCCAGCATGCTGAGAGCAAAACACAGCTGCAAAACCAATCCAAATTGATATTCTAGATTTACAGATTGTACATAGGTATTACAAATTACAGATTTTACGTGGGGAGTGCGGCCTAGTGGTTAGGGTTTGTTACTCAAGGGTCGGGGGTTCGAATCCAACTGCTTGCCACATGTTGTGTTCTTGGGCAAGCCGCCTCAACCCCACTTGTCTCTCTCCAACCAGAAGTATAAATCTGTACTGGTGTCGGACTCCTATGAAAATCTGACTCCTTTACCCTATTATTGGTTAAACCCTCTCACGTGACCGGTCACTCTCCTTATTATCGTCACTTAGTCATGCAAAATACTACCAATGAGTCCGTATTTCATAGCATTAGCTTGGGAGTAACATGCGATGGACTAGCATCCCATCCAGGGGGAGTAAAAATATTCTCAGTTGTTTCATGCCAAGGAAACTGGAGACAAACGCTGGCCTGATGGGCCATATTGGCTCATGACAGACTCTTCTTTTGTAATTTTTTTTATTAATAGACAGATAGTTACGCTGGTGGTACTCTTTCAGATCAAGACCTTTTTTTTATGAAAACGCTTGTTCAATGATGTCATACAAACTCCAGTTCTATTTGATAACAGAGTCATCAAAGACAAGTATACTGCCCTCTGTAGGTCATGCACAGAGCCATTGGACCTCAGACATACCTTTCTTTTGGTCCCTCCTGAGAGCTTCTGAGACTTCTTATCTGCATGCTCGGAGATCTTCAATGCTGCCATGTAACTAAAAACAATACAAACAAGATGACACAGGGCTAATCAGTGATTTTGACAATTGTGAGGCGTTCTGCCAAAATGAGACGGAACTGGGCCCAGGCCATAGTGGAGAAAAATGCAAACAAACTGAAGGGGGTGATTTTTTTTCAATTTTCAGATTTATAGATGTTTGTAGCCTGTGATATGTCTACTACTCATATTTTAAAGAAATAGTATACAAATCGTGGAAAAAAAGCGTTTTTAAGGAAAACTAATTGGCATCTTTCATTTTCAGGACTACAAAACTCCAAACTGTAAAGGCCTTTTTCTCAGTATTTTACTTTTTTGACCAGTCGATTAAGTGCAAACATTAAACAGCCATAAGTTGCCAACGGAATGTCCGATTGAAGTGCAACAAACAGTATTGTGAGGAGAATTTTATTCTCTTTCCTAATACCTGCAAACCCTCATTTCAACCTCTGCCCAGTTGTGTCTCATTCTGCGCATACAGAGTCTAACGATTAGGTAACGGGATATTTATGAAGATTGTGAATCCCAAAAAATTTCGTGTTACGACCAGATGATGGCTTCTTTCACTTGCTGAAAGCAAACCGCTTTGTTCAATGTGTATGCATTTTCCCTCTGGCCCTGCTAACAAGGAAACTTTTTGTCACATTGTGAAAACTAACAAAACACAGAGTTCAGGCATTTTGTCAAACGTTTGAAACTTGGTCAAATTGTTCTGTGTGTCACATGTAATAAAATGGCCAGCAAAACTCAAAACTTTTTGAGTTAATTTTTTCTAGATATTTGTCACTTCGTGAAAACCCTGACGATATAAATAACCAGATTTTCAGTGAATAGATATTTGTAAACGATTTAACAGAATTTTGCAGAACCAGTTTTACAGAGGCTTGCCTAGGTTTTTATGTAGTCTAGGGGCTAGATGTTGCATGGTTTGATACGCGATAACCTGCCGCCACGAGAGGGCGCTATCACTACCAACCAATATCTCCCATGGACTTGTCAGTAGCAACATCTAGGGTATCTCCTGAAATCTCCCCCCCCCCCGCAAAAAAAATGGGGGAAACTAGTGCGCATGTGCGACTTCTGCAGGCAAATTACGGTCCATTTTCAGTCGCATTACACAACCAATAGGAATTGGCCTAGACGTTGCTACTGACAAGTCCGTGGGCGATGTTGGTTGGTCGTGATAGTGCCCTCTCGCGGCGGTGGGTTATCGCGTATCAAACCATGCAACATCTAGCTCCTAGACTAGTTTTTATGTGAAATTTTGAGCCCTGCCATGACCCCCCTCCCTTCCAAATTCCATGAGACACTTACTGATCGGCAATGGGCCCGACATCTTTGGGTTGGATGCCTTTGAGCAGCCCGTACATCTCGATGTGTTCACGCATGGTGATGTTCTCGTACAGTGGATCGTGTTGGGGGCAGAACCCCATGCAATGGAAGGCGTCACTCAGGGATGACGTGATGTCATAGCCAGAAATTTGGATCTGGGGTAGATAAAAAAAATGATAAATGCTTAAAACAAAATGCTAAGACACTTTTTTGCTTCAGTAAAAGTTGTTTTTTTTTCAAAACCATAACAATCCCCATCCACGTGACGATAACATTACTTAACATATCTTGCCTCCGTTTACAACATTTTCATAAACAACTTTACGAATTGTCACAAACATTTTTTTAGAGTGCATTTACTGACGACGGCAAAGTATATGCTCAAATTTGGTAAAATATTTGTGGTCATTTTTTGGGGACTGACCGACCGACCGACCAACACCAAAATGGCTTGCAGAAGCTCCTTTAACAGCTTAAAAAAAGTATAATTTGTTAAAGAGCATGGGGATAGCAACTTTAGCAACAACAACAACAACAACAAAATATCAATAAAACAAAAAGCCGACCTGTCCTCTAGTAGCTTTGGTATCAGCTGCAATGACGTTCATGGAAGTGGTTTTACCAGCTCCATTGGGTCCCAGTAGGCCAAACACTTCCCCTTCGTTCACGCTGAGGGTCAGGTTACGGACGGCCACGTTGATCGGGGAAGCTTTCTCCTTGCTGCAACAACCACCGCTTCTCTTCTGGAACTCCTTGCGGATGCCGGCGGCGGCTACTGCGCATTTCTGAGACGGGGACGAGAAAGGAGAAAAGTTGCAGGAATTTGTCTCAACTTCAAGGTGCACATTCAAAAATTTCAATTTTTAGATTGTTTACTTTATGGTAGGTTCACACATTCCTGAATTGGTTACGAATACAACAAGAATAAACCAAGAATCGAAATGGATTCCTGATTCCATATGTGATGAATCGGCTCACCTCAGGATGTTCACGTTGGGAAAAGATGGTCTGCACTTTCTCCCGTTCAGCTTTGACATCGCTATCCTCGTCAGGGATGTGGTCGTTGTTTGGAACCACTGATCCTACCTTCCCCTGGCTGCAGAGAAAGAAAAAAAATGGAAGAAAAAAATTGGATGTGCATTCCAGTGTTTGCGAGGATCCCAGTTAAACCTCACATAACCTTGTACAACCGCTAGATAAACCTCGTTCAACCTCAAGGTAACCCTCGTACAACCTCGAGATAAACCTCGTGGCAAACATCATACAACCTCGAGGTAAACCTTCTACAACCTCAAGGTAAACCTCGTACAACTCCGAGGTTCCCAGTAAAACCTCACATTAACTCATACAACCTCGGGGTAAACCTGGTACAACCTCGGGGTAAACCTTGTACAACGTCGAGGTAACCTTGCACAACCTGAATGCAAACCTTGTACAACCTTGAAGTAAACTTTGTACAACCTCGAGGTAAAGCTTATAAAACCTTGAGGTAAACCTTGTTCAACCTTGAGGTAAACCTCGTACAACCTAAACCTTGACAACCTTTGACTTGTGACACTGTTATAGCTGGGCAATATATTCTGATATCCCCCTCGAAGCCATCCAATATTATAAAAGGTACTTTAGTACTGACAATTTTTACCTGCAAATAAAAGTGTCTCTCAGGTTACCCCCTGTGGAAAAGATCTCCAAAAATCGCAGCTCAAAGAAAACAAGCACGAGGGCGATCAGCAGCTGTCAAAAAGAAGAAACACAAAAAATCATCATCAGGGCAATTTTAAGAACAACATCTGTCTTTCGGAGTAAGTTACGTTCTCACTTTGAACACAATTACCTTTTCTCATTACTGTTTATGTTCATAAACAATATGACAGTCATTAAAGGGACACTGCGTCCTGTAGTCTGGCTCCCTGACTCGACGCTTCAGACGGAGTGAAACAATATACAGGCACCGGGGAATTGTCAGGCTAGGGAATCAGACTGGCCAGCTTTCGACTACTCACCGGTTTGTAACAGATTGCAAACAAAATGTGGACCAACTAAATTCGGTCAATTGAGGGCAGTTTTTGAAAGAGAAGTCATGTTTTTTTTTCCAACGATGGTTGGCCATTCCCAGAGAGAAATAAAATTAAAATGAAAAAGATGAAATAAAGGGATCTAATGCCTGATAACTGAAACCTATATATATTAATTTTGACTTTGACTCACACAGATCAACGATGGCACAACGACCTTGTCAAACGCAAAGTAGTCTCCGAAGGAAAGTTGATCCAATGTCTGCGTAACAAGTGCAACTTGATAGATCTGTTGGAATGGAACAATGCAAACAAAAGATTAGATAGGATACATATCGCTACTTTGTGGTAGGATGTCTTTTTTCCCCCCTGAGCCACGTTCCTTTTTTTTATGGAATAAATAAGTGTTTGGCCAGGGCCTGGTAGCTGATAACGTCCCTCGCCTTCAGCTCAGACCATTATTGATATCCAGGCCCCTAAGACATTTTTAAACATACTCTCTTGCATGTTAAACCAGCCAGGCACATAGTTATTCCCATTAATATATGTGACCTGTTCTGTCAAAAGCAGACGCTTCTGGGCAAAGAGGCTGAAATTGAGGTAGGGCCAAGAAACGCTGTGGGGGTGATTTTTTTTTTTGATTTTCTAATTTCTGCATATTTGTAATCCTGAACATGTCTGAAATATACTATAAAAGTTTGAAAACCCTAATTTGAACTCCAGATATAGTATTTTTGATGATTTGTTAAGGCATATCAGTTAAAGAAATGTCACTTGAAACAGGTCTTAAAATTGACCCCAAACTTTAACTGCCATTTTCTCCGTTTTCTACTTTTCGACACGATAAACTTCAAAATAGCATAACTTTGCCCAGGAATGACTGGTTTCAAGAATTAAACCACCTATTAAAAGGAAAATGTACATATTTCAACAATATGCAAAAATCTCATTTTTTGACCTTATGCCCAGAAAAGTCTGATTTTGAGAGAATAGGTCACATATACCTTTATGTTAAAAAGTCAAAATAAATAAATTACAAATTTCCAATGATTTTGCTCATCAATTTTACTTAACGAATACCTCTCTATAATTTTTACAAGGGAATAATTGTGTGCTTGGGAGGTGTTAAACACTATGTTTAAGACTGGTTGGAGTCTGGAATGCTGATAATTACCCTCGACAAACCCAGTCATAAATACCTATTCGGTCAAAAAATCAAACCTGCTGTATAACAAAGTGTCCAGCTCGTGAGTAGGATGTAAACAACTCCTTTATGGAGAAGAAAAGACTGATGATGCACAGATGCAGCTGTGGTGAGTGCGCTGTGAATTTAGGACTATGAAATACTGACTCACTGGTAGCATTGCACATGCCTACGCGAGGGTTGTGAATGTTCAACCAATTAGAAGGTAAAAGGCACTGGATTTCATGGGAGTCCGAATTTCATGCGATACTGGAAAAGTGTTTAAGGCCAGCCAGCCATGTCTTTATAAATCCATTTAAGACCGGCCACGTGACGGGCTCTCGACCAATGGGAATGGGTTAACTGTTATAGTATTCATGAATTATTCTTCTTCTTCTTTACCTTATCGATGTAGTACAGCGTCCCAAAGATGCTGCACGGAGGGAAGAGAATGGTGAAGATCAAATGCAGGGCACCAGCAGGAACAGGGTTACCGGTGAAATCAAGGACGATGGTGGGAACCGCTAACAAGATGGCAACCTTGAGAGGAAAAAAATATATCCAAATGTCAAGTTTTAAGATTTGAGTCCATGCACACTGGAGAAGCACACTGTATACAGCTCGTGATTACATTTTGGTACCGGACTATTTGGTCAGATTCCCTGACTTGGCATATTCATATATCATTGCACTGTTTGCGATTCCATCAGGGGTACCAGCCCACTTTGGTCCGATACCTTGACTTTACATGTAATATGTAAGGCATTCTTGAGATGGAACTGGGCACAGGTCGTAGTGGGAATAAATGCAAAAAAGGGAACAGGATGATTGTTTTGGTTTTAAGATTTATTGATATTTGTAATCTTTGATACGTTTACTACACATATTTCAAAGAAATAGTATAAAAATTGAGGAATAAAACTGTGCTTAAGGAAAACAAAATGGCATCTTTCATTTTCGCAACTACAAAACTCTGGCCTTTTTCTCAACACTTTACTTTTTTAAGTGTCGATAAATGCAAACTTTAAACTACCCTTATTTGTCAACGGAATGTTAGGAGAATTTTAGTCTCTTTCCTAATATCTGGAAACACTCATTTCGATCCCTGCCCAGTTCTGTCTCATTTTGCCAGAATGCTCCACATTTATCACTGCTCTCTTTGAAAAGCGATGGTTTCGGATGCAACATCGCAAGATGCAAAAATAAAAGCTCCAGACTTGGATTTGTTAAGAAGCAAGTCGCAAAATTGTAAGTTTCAGATTCTGATTTGTTATTTTACTATGGGAATAAATGTGTGCTCCGGAGGTTTTTATCACTCTGTTTAAGACCACTTAGAGTCTGGGTGCTGATAATTACCCGAACCGGAGGCGAGGGTAATTATCAGCAACCAGACTCTAAGCGGTCTTAAACAGAGTGATAAATACCGACCGAGCACATATTTATTCCCATTCATGAATACCTTTTCGGTAAAAAAATATCAAATAATTCGATCAAAAAATCCTGATTTTGTTCAACAAGTTCACTTCATGCTTTTTGAAACATCCCTCTAGCAAAATAATGGAAGGTTCAGCTGGCGAGTAAGATGTAAACAACCCTTTTATGGACATTGACGTGCGCGTAGCATGTTCTGCGCAATGTCGCGCAGAACGCACCTGGGGCGTTGCATTTTGAATTTAGAACTATAAAATTCTGACTCGCTGGTAGTGTTGCGCATGCCTACGTGAGGATTGTGAACGTTCAACCAATGAAAAGGTAAGAGGCACTGGATTTTCAGGAGTCCACATTTTATTGTGACACTGGAAAAGTGTTTAAGACCAGCTAGCCATGTCTTTATCATCCGTTTAAGACCGGCCACGTGACGGGCTCTCGACCAATAGGAATAGCTCAACTGTCTGAGGTATTTATGAATAATACTTGATGACTGAGAATACACATTATTAAACAGAATCTCTTTGTTGTTGGTGGGGCAGGGGGGGGGGGCATCCAGCAAACTCACATAGAAGAAGATGAACTGAGCGGTCGACTGACACGTCTTGTAGTCCTCGAAGAGGAAAGCCACGCAGTAGGAGAACACGACCAACAGCGGCGAGAAGATGAGCATGAAGACGATGTACATGAAGATGCCACCGCCCGTTGACAGCGAGGATCCGCCGGTGGCCGCGCTGACGGCGAGAATGACGATGAAGGAACACACCGAGATGAAGTACATTTGAAAGGTGTCAATCAGTAGATGGGAGCCCCAGTAGTTAGCCGTAGTGACCCCGGACACGCGCAGCTGGGTGCGCACTTTCTCCTGTTTGCGGGAAAAAACAAACTTGGGTGATGTATAAGTTGGCATATGGGGAAAAACCATAAAGCTGTATTAAATTACTAGAGCGCTAAGTCCTCATTCTTGCGCACGGAGACCCTTTGAAGCCACTCTGGGCACAGACATTTTGAGTTTATGTGCGTGTTTGTAGAACACAATCAAAATAGATGGACTGAATTTTAAAAGCGTACTCTAAATGCAACGCGCAAGTAGAAGATACGCAAACAATTAAGAGCGTCATGACGGTTAAAAAAATGTCACGGCGAAAAGCACATGCACAGCAGAGGGACGCGCACACATTGCGCTGTATGCGTAGAGCAAAGTGAAACACTTATTTGCTGATTGTGCATTTCGGTTTTGGGTGTATCGGCTTCGATGACGCACCGGTATGGAATACAAATGCAGATATGCAAATAGCCGTACAAAAGCCGTACAAAATTTCGAGATTTCCATAGGTTTGTGCACAAACATGGATGCGCCCATCAGGCATTACTTTGTACATCGAGTTAGCGCTCCAGTAATTTAATATAGCTCTATGGGAAAAACGCAGACATGGGAGTTGAACGCAGATTTCTAGCTGGTTGGTACTCCTGAACTAACCTTGGAAGATAAACAGGGGCTATACCATGGATACATTGACATGTAAGAACCAAAACTTCAAAATCTATTCTTGCCCGTGTCAGCAACCAGTGCAAATCATGGAGAATAGGTGTGATGGATTCACGTGTGCGAGTCCTGGTGACAAGTCTGGCTGTAGAGTTTTGTATACGTTGCAATTTACTATTTTGAGTATCAGTAATTCGAGTACTCTCTCCTGTATGCATGTTACCTGTTTCTCTTTGACGATGTTGGTGGTGTACCCAATGGGCACAAACGAGAACGCCATGGCCAGGAATAAATACAGGAAGAAACCCGAGTTGAAACCGTAGCTCGAGGCGCGGGAGGGGAACGGGTGGTTGGCCACGGTCAGGTTCACGAGGGTGTCTGCCGCTACGGCAACCAGCGCTTTGTTGAGGACGTTCAACAGGATGGGCAGGGAATGCTGGGCCGTGTCGTTGTACAGTGCTAGGAAGTCCGCATTACCCTGGAGGTCAATATACACCGATTACTGGTAAGATTCACACCCTGATGATGTCCCTGGGCATGCTTGATTTCATCAAGTTCTTCAGATTTTCAAAGGTGTTCACACAACAATTTCATTAGGGTAAATAAATAAGTCAATAAACCTTTCATTAGAGTAAAAAGATCCTAAAAATGAAATCATTTTACATCTCTTGACAATGATATCCATGACTTTACATAATAAAATATCCTCTATCGCTTGCATGGCGCATCTCTATGGAAATAATTATAATAATAATGTAGTGCTTTTTTTATACAACGCTTTATCCGGTTGGTTAGTGTGACGTCAGTTCAGTTTAAACCACGCCCACTGGCAATTAAGTAGCACTGGAACCACTGGAACCGGAAGCTAACGTAACTTGAGCGTTTATCCAATAGGCACTAGTAATCAGTGGTGCGTGCGTGTGTATGATGTCTTTACTAAAGAACCGGATACCAAAGTCTCAAAGCGCTTCACGATTATAACCCCCGTTTATCAGGCCATGAGACCAATTTTTGCAGCAGCTCGAGATCAGGGCAATCTGGTCTCTACCCTCACAGGTACCCATTTATACTCCTGGGTGGAGAGAGGCAATTGTAGTAAAGTGTCTCGCCCAAGAACACAAGTACCATGTTCTCTGTCAGGATTTGAACCCACATACCATGGCACGTGAGTTGAACACCGCAACCATTGGACCACAGCGCTCCATTTTGTACAGCATTTTGGAGGGCTATTAGCATAACTACATGTATGTGTTTATTTAGATTCGGATGCAAAAACTGAAGCTCATAAGGCCAAAAATGCACAGCCAGTAAAGAAGCCTTTCTGTACTGTGCAAACAACCCATATGTGCGTATAGATGCTTCGGACAGTTTTTTTTCATACTTCCATCTGTGCAGCCTCGTTATGATGAACTCTTTATTCACTCTTATGTTTTAATTTCAATACATTCTACCATCAAAAACATTCAGTGAAATGTTGGCGGCTAGGACACATCCAAAAATATTCTATGCAACAGAATGAAGAGTTAAGGCTTAATGGTTAAAAAAAAAGAAGTAAAGTCTTTCACAAGCCAATGTGGTCCATCAGGCAGGCATCTATCTCTGGTTTCAATAGCATGAAACAACTGAGAATATTTCTACTCCCCCTGGATGGGATGCTAGTCCATCGCAGGTTACTCCCCAACTAATGCCGGTACCATTTACACTCCTGGGTGGAGAGAGGCAAGTGGAGGTGAAGTGGCTTGCCCAAGGACACAACATAAAACCAGCAGCTGGATTCGAACCCCTGACCCTCTGATCATGAGTCACGAACCCTAACCACTAGGCAACACTTCCCACCAACGCTTAATGGACCTACGGTCTAATCTCTGTCTCTGTCACTGTCCACCAAATCCATGTTAGACATGGGGTTGAGGTCAGTGGAGGGGCATGCACTGTAGAGAAAATATCGAGGTTTGTGTTTTGACCATAGAGCTATATTAAATTACTAGAGCGCTAACTCGATGTACAAATTAATGCCCGGATGGGCGCATCCATGTTTGTGCACAAACCTATGGAAAGCTCAAAATTTTGTACGGCTTTTGTACGGCTATTTGCATATCTGCGTTTCAATTCCATTCCGGTGCGTCATCGAAGCCGATATGCCCAAAACCGAAACGCACAATCAGCAAATGAGCGTTTCATTTTGCTCTACGCAAACAGTGCAACGTGTGCGCGTCCCAGGGCCCTACGCTGCAGATGCTTTTCGCTGTGACGTTTTTTGAACCGCCATGATGTGCTGAAGTTGTCTGCGTATGTTCTACTTGCGCGTTGCATGTAGAGTACACTTTTAAAATTCAATCCATCTATTTTGATTATGTTCTACAAACATGCACATGACTTCAACATGTCTGCGCCCAGGACGGCTTCAACGCGTCTCCGCGCGCAAGAATGAAGAGTTAGCGCTCTAGTAATTTAATATAGCTCTATGGTTTTGACTCACATTTGTTTCCAGGCTGTTGACTACTGTAGCCATGCTGTGCGGAGCTACGGCACTCATATTACTCATGTCTGGGATTGAGGTGTACTGCAGGCCCATGCGCTTCAACTGGTCCAATAACAACTGGATATCTGTTGAGGAACATACCGGTACATTTAACCCTTTCCTTACCATGGGCGACTTTTGTCGACAAGAAGAACCCCCCTGCTGGTTCCCATGGGTGACTTTAGTCGACCAGGAAACCACACACAGAACACCCTCAACACAGATATATTCACTACTTTTAAGAAAGGTGACATGCTGATATGTTTGGCCGTCCATACATCAACCATATACCAGCTGTAAGAGTGTTTTCGGATCGTTCTAATGGTGTAGTTTATTTGTAGTGTTGCCATTACAAAAAAATGAGAAAAGTGCTTCAGAAGTATCCACGCACAAATTGAGGTATGGAGTGCCATTTGGTCATGTGGTAAAATGGCTTGCAGTTTGATAAATGGAACCAGATGAACAAACAGGCATAACTTTCTTATATTTACACATATGGACTACATTTTTACATCACATACAAGAGTAAGGTTCGAGGAACAAACTTCACACACAACACCTATGATTTAAATCACTCCTTGGCAGTGAAAATCTGGGTTGAAAAAAGTGAGTTTTGGACTTGTGGTCATTTTGTTCACGCTCTGGTGATTTCCGCATGACTGAGCAAACAATTTGGTCCTGGGGAGAGCCAAGTCAATAAACAATGTGGTAATGAAAAGGTTAAGGTATGTAAGACATCTGAAACACGTACGATTTTTGATAAAGATTCATGGGGTTCACAAAAAGCCATTACTATATTAATAATAATAATAATTTGGGAGGCTAATCATCCTTACTCGCAGCTGGGATGCTGAATTGCGAAGGACGCGGCTACAACGTGGTCGGGCCGCTGGCACGTAAAGGCGCCTATGGCTGCCGGCCACATCGACCCATATATGACCACGGAGCACAGCCTGAGATCGAAAGTGTTTGATTTTTCCGGAGGGAGGAAAACCGGAGGGCCCGGAGAAACACCATCGTGGCACAGGAGAGAACCAACGCACAACCCTACTCACATGTGATCCGCGGCCAGGATTCGAACCGTGGTCACCTTGGTGAGAGGCGAGCGCTTTACGCACAAGCCACCCATGCCACCCACTGAATGACTCCGTAATTCCACATGCTCTTTTGACAAAGAGCTGTATAAAGTTGCAACATGAGGGATATTGATTTCAGACAATGTTTGGTTCAAGCAAGAGAAGAACTAAACGTAATAACAATAATAATAAGTATTACCCTGGATCGGACATTTGGGAGGCATCCCCATAGACTTGTGCACACAATTTTTCAAACTTAAATGTGCCCTAACCCAATATTCCCTTGTCCTTTTTCCACGAATTTCGGTATGTTTACTAATTAGACCACAAGCAACAACTATAATCTAATTGCGACGGTAAAATTGTGCCTCTAAAGGGGGGCTGTGACATTAGGGAGACATGAAAATGTCTCCCTAATGACCGATGTCTCCCATCAAGCGAAGAAATTACGATAACGTGTCTCCTTAATGGTACCATTACTTATAAAAATAATAATAAATGGTTCTTATATAAATAATTAAATGTTAAATAGGTTTGTCTTCAGTGCAGTTTTGAACTCATTTTCAGTTCTTGCAGTTTTGATGGGTTGTGGGAGAGAGTTCCAGAGAGTAGCGGATAAGTGTGTGAAGGACCGATGTCCATACGTTTTGGTGTGAATGACAGGAGTCTTTAGCAACAGTGCTGAGCCAGAGCGCAGGGTGCGCGGTGGTTGATAGGGTTGAATCTCGCGAAGGTACGATGGTGACGAGCCGTCGATGCATTTGTACGTTACAAGAAGTGTTTTGAAGATGATGCGCTTATTGACAGGTAACCAGTGGAGATTGTGAAATATTGGGGTTATGTGTCCTCGTGATGGTGAACGCGTAAAAAGTCTGGAGGCAGAAAACATTCAGTCGCGAGATTCTGGGATTATTTCAACGATAGCGCCCCCTAGTGCCAGGTATAGACGGTTCTGATGATGGTTATTGGGAGGGTCCTCACATAGAAATAAAAAAACTTTGGGCGCAAGAGAAAGAAGAAAGTGTCTTTTTGTTTTGTTAACCCTAAAACCTTGAACACTTTTACTAGAAAGCATCCTGAAACCGCCAAACTCCACCAATTTTGTCATGCAAAAAATGTTGGTGTCCTGAGTCAATCAGAATCTACCAATGAGTTCATCAGAATCCACCAATGTAGTACATATTAAACTGTTAAACTGTTTGAGATCCCGAGTCCATCAAAATCCTGCAGCACCACTAGACTTACTGTCCTGAATCCATCAAAATCCCCCATCAAAATCCCCCAACTTTTTCAATCCATCAAAATCCCCCATCAAAATCCCCCAACTTTTCAATATGGAAGCATTCTGAATCCCCCAAAATCCTCCACACAAGGTGGGTGGATTTTGATGGATTCAGGTACGTTGGGGTTAATATTTAGTTTTATTTTCTCTGACTTACCCCCGCCCGATGCCACGTTATCCTGGTAGAGCAGAGGGCTGAGGGAGGGCAGGGAAGACGGGGGATCAGTCTGCAAGTACATGCCGGGGTCAAGGGTCAGGCTGGTGGGGTCCTGCACCTGGCCCGTGCCAAAATTAATGGTGGTAGCCAGGACGACAGAGAGAGTGATGTAAATAATCGGGAAGACGAGCCGTGTGACGTAGGTCTGCAGGAGATGACAAACAAAAACCAAAAAAAGAGAAACAATAAATTTTGGTGAAATACAGCCGTGTGGTTGTGAAGGGCGAGTTTTAAAGGTTACGTAGCACTTTATTTTGAATGACACTACATGCACACAGACCGTTCACGTTGTCGGGGGCAAAATCTTATCTTCATGCAACTTTCAGGATTTATTTCCCTTATAATATTACAAGCATGTGCTAAAAATTGTTGTGATATGTTCATTACTTTTCGTTGTAATTGGAAAAATAGGCCTAGCTACGAGCATTTTTGAAAGTTGTAACACTGGCGTTTGCAATATCTGTCAATCTTTTCAAGCCTCACAAATATTAAAAAGGTTCCTATCCATTATGGTGTGCAGTAAAAATATGGAGAACAGCCTCGTTCGCAAGTTATTAATTGATAAATATCACCCTTTTTGCCGGCTTCAATTGGTCGATACCGAGACCCACACCGAGTGACGCTAATGAATATGCTAATATGTGCTTCGTCATTGTGTTGCAAAAGCCGAAATCAGTCATCCATAGCGCGCCTAGGGAGCTGTAGGATCTTTGCTGAAAAATCATGCATGTGGGTTTGGTCGGCAAAATATCCTCGTCAAAATTTTCCTAGGAGATAGTTCAAGGTGTCACACTAGCGTTTGCAACAACAAATTAAGCTGAAATTCGGAATATACTTAGATGATATAAGTGTCCAACTACTCGTGAAATAACAACTTGAGTAAATTCCTAGAAATTGATATAAATACATAGATTTGGGGACGTTTTCGAGCGATTTCTTCCCGACTTGAAGGTCAGCTTTTACAGTAACCAGTACTGACGTTTCAGCATCGATGACCACAATTTTTTCACACCGGGATTGCATAAATCTGCATGCTTAGATATATCATATCTTCATATGCCATGTTAATATGACTTTCCAGCTTCTTTGTAGCACTAAAAGGGAGAAATTTCAACATTTTAGTTTTTATGCTAATGAAAATTTCTATATTCACGAGCCAAAACTTGATGTCGTTCAAAGGCAGAACAGAAGTGTCTCTATAGCTTTGTGTACAACTATATATATCAAAATTTTCTTCATTCTTTTCTTCAGACAAGTACGCCATTCATGACACCATTCAACCCATCACCACTAACTTACCGCAGGATCACGCAACATCTGCTTAAAAAGCAGCGTGCACAGGCCTCGCATCTGGTAACTGTTGGGCTGCAGGGGACCGGTGATGAGGTGCTCCACATTCAGCGACATGGACTCAATGGTATCTCCTGCAGTGTTGTAGTTGGCACCGGCGTTTCCGGTGATTGGGGTGGTGTCTGGAAAAAGGGGAATAAATCAAAAGCATGATAATACAGAAAATTTACAGAAGTTACAGCCAAAACAATGTTTAAAAATACTGCAAGTAAAACTTGCGCGATCCACCTGGCATCCTTGCAGTTTGTATACACTTACAGGCAGTTTATATAGCAAGAACAATTTTCAGTGATCATCCTACCAGCAGGTACCAGTTAGCAGTTGAATGGGGAGTATGGGTGGAATGGGGAGTTTGGGTGAGACACCAGACTAACATTGTCATTAGTAATTCTCAGCTGAGCTCTCCAGAGACCTCATAAATATCCATAATGGAAAGGATTTGTTTAATGTCGGCCTCTCTCCACAAAGCACCTTTCAAGTTTGGTTGAGATTGATGACTGAACTTGATGGGTTTTGGTCCTTTTTTTTTCATTTTTCCCATAAAAGAATTAGGGTAGGGGCTGTCAGAATAGGGTAGGTAGGGAAACCGGAAGCAGAAATATTTCTTTTTGGCCTAAGGTTCATAAGGAGCTTGTCAGAAGCCAGGCATTTGCAAGTAGTAATACTGAGCTGAGCTCTCCAGAGACCTCATAAATATCAATATTGGAAAGGATTTTTTTTAATTTCGCCGAAATTAACACTGAGATTCTGCAAACCTTGCAAATCACTAGGGGATCACGCAGAAATTAAACTGTTTAAAATGTTTTGTTACAAATCATTACACAAACCAAAATGAAAGACAGACTCATTCTTGGTTGTTACTGGTTGCCATGGTAATTACCTGTTGCATTCTGGTCGCCCTCTTCCACTTTGTCCTCTGCTTCCTCGTCGTTCAGTTTCAAGAAGACTTCCTCCAGCGTTGTCATGGAGACTCCGTAAGACTGGATGCCTAGTTGCTTGGCAACTGTTTCACCACTTTCCTTGCTAGTGTTTTCTAATGCTTGAAACAGATCTGTATCAAAATAATTTTGTAACATTCATCCTTCTGTAGTTGGTAATAACTTCCCGCAAATGAATTCGCAACCGTTACAATTCCATCTTGTGTATAGTTATATGCGGTACCCGCTGCTATGTACATCAGATTCGAATCGGCCAACCAAGCCTGTAAGCTCGGTGGTCGAGTGGTAAGACGTCAGCACAAGAAAGGAGGTTGTGGGTTCCAGTCCCACTCGAGTGATTTTTCCAACTTTCACTCGGGAGGTAACACACTGAGTATACAGTGTTTAAACGTCGGTGAAGTGCAAAACCTAATTTGATTTACATCACCCTGACGCAAAATTCTCAATTTCCTGAGTTTTACCTGGGAATTTGTTGCTGGCTTGCAGTGGCAGTGTGTAGGCTAGTTCCATGCCGTGACTTCGTGACACCTCACCGTTGGGAATCTGTGCTGTAATCAGCTCAGTAATGCTATCCACATCTACATCTTGCTCTACGACCATTCTAGAACAAAACCCCAAAACAATAGAAATAAAACACATCCTCTTGTTAAAGATTTCAACTCTGTCATGATTGACCGTAGCTGGCTGGAATTGGGTTGCGTATTAAAAAAAAAAATGCTTTTACAAACATACCAAATTTCAGAAAAGCCCGTTATTGCAAAGAGAATAGCAAATTTCTATGCTACGCAGCTCCACATAATCATACCCACACGATAAAAATTCAAAACTGATGTAAGTAGACATCTGCGTGGAATGTACCACCAAAAAAAAAAGGGTCTCTTTTAGCAAAATTCTGCTTACCCGAGATGATATCCAATACCAAAGCGATTCTTCAAGAAGAGTGAGGATCCATAGCAACGAAGACTGCCCTTTGACATCACAGCTTTCCAATCTGCAAAACACATAACATAAAACAAAGTACATAACTGACTGCAAAACTCTGGTACCAAACTTAAGACTAACATATAAAAATGAAATACCCTGATGCATCAGTCACCAGACTACTAAAACATAGACAAGGGTTTTTTAAGAGGCGAAGAGAAAGTTTAATTTCCAACTATGTTTAATCATACCTGGACTAACCTTCATCGAACGCATGCTTGTTTACCATGGCTGGATCATTTTTATGTGGAAAAATCATGCACAGTCTGGTGCCTAGCCATGCTTTGAAATGAGCATTTTGTTTTTGTATGAGGTGTCTATTTGTATGAGGTGATATCAATCCATTCCTTGCTATGGCTGATCGAATCAGAATACAAGAAGCAAGATCCTCCCAGGGTCTACTCTTGTCTGGAGGTTGACACAAAACCCTGGGAACGAGGTTATTTAGATGAATGTGACCTCTGACCTGCCAAGATGTCTGCCTCATCCATGAAGTGTGTGGTGAGCACCATGATCCGTCCCTGTCGCTGGTTTTTCAAGAGATTCCACAGCTGCCGGCGAGAGTACGGGTCCATGCCGCTACTCGGCTCGTCCAGAAACAGAATCTTGAATAGGAAAATGAAAGAAATTGTGACAAACAGTCCACGTGATGAACTGTCACTTTAAAGGATCTTGAAACTTGGTACATGTATAAACATACACTCTTGTTTTACTATACTCCCGAGGACAATGCTTTGTGTTTTCCTTTGTCCCTGTAATATAACACTCTTCCATAGGCTAAGCACACAAACCTACTACAGAGGACCGTTTCCAACAAAAGACCCAACTCCCGAGGATTGAAAGGATCTGTTGTTCTCCCTTTGTGTGCCTGTCCTCGGGGGTTATGTAGAACAAGTACATTCCATGCAGGTATAACAATGAGAATGTGCTGGTTTCAATGGGCCAGGTTAATAGGGGAATAAATGTGTGCTTGGCTGGTTTCAAACACAATATTTACGACAGCTAAACATCCAAAATTCTGCCAACTTTTGGTGCTGAAACAGCTGTAACATTTGAGGTTTCTGCCTGAAATGACATCACACTTTTGCTCATGAATATGGAAATTCACATTAGCATAAAAACCAAAAAGGCACCAAATACCCTTGAAAATGGCAAAACAAAAATTGAAGAAAAGGGTTAAATGGGACACAAAGGTGCATTTCAAGGACTGCATTAACCCTAACTCCCTAGCGTCTTTTACTAGGAACTGGACCAAGTCCATCAAAATCCATCAATCACTGTGCGTCGAATACAAAAATGTACATGACATAATGGAACTCACCACTGACGCACTGGTTGACATTCATGGACTTGCTACACATGGCTTTTATCACAATAGCAGTACAGGAAGCTAGGCAAATTCAATCGGATACCCCTAGCACTGCTTCAGGCTATTAGGCCCAAGTCCATCATACTCCATCAATATTTAGTCACGCCAGGCCTTCTGGCCAAGTCCCCCCAAAATCCACTAAAATTGGGGGGGGGGGGATAGATTTTGATGGAGTTGGGGTGGTTAGGGTTAAAGAAATTACATTGCTTTATGACCCTTTAATAGATTTGTTTCATTTACCTTTGGGTCACCGATGAGCGCCAGTCCGACGCAGAGTTTGCGTTTTTGCCCTCCGCTGAGATCCTTGGACTTGGTGTTTGCTGACTCTTCCAACATGGTCAACTGCAAGATTTTTGTCACCTGATCAAGAAACAATACATTTTTCACTTTTTTTGTTGTTACAGTTATGGGAATGATTAAGTCATGAAGAACACGGCTAATGACTCAGGAAGACCGCTGGCCTATGTTGCTAATGTTTGCCAATGTTGGTGGCAATCAGTCGGTTCCATTGGTGCATCCAGGGGGGTGCGGAGGGGGTGCAGTGAAAGAAATTGTCTCAAATAAGGCCATTTTTCACTTGTGAGGGCCCTTCCATCCCCCGTGGCACAGCCTCAGCCCCCCCCCCCTCATGACTCGTCCTCGTCCTCGACCCAATTGACTCACAACCCAGACTCAGCCTTGACCCAACTGACAAGATTCTGACTCGGCTTTGACCAAATTGACTCACAACTCAGACTTTTCCTCGACCCAATTGACTCACGACCCAGACTCAGCATTGACCCAATTGATTCAAGATTCTGACTCGGCTTTGACCCAATTGACTTACGTCTCAGACTCGACCTCAACCCAATTGACTCACGACCCAGACTCAGCCTTGACCCAATTGACTCAAGACTCAGACTTGGCTTTGACTCAATTGAATCACAACTAGGTCTCATACTCAAGCCGAATGAATCGTGACTTGGACTTGTCCTAGACCCAATTGACTCACGACTCGACTTGGCTTTGAACCAAGTGACTCGGGACGCAGACCTGACCCAATTGACTTACAATTTGAACTAGGCCTTGACCCAATTGACTCAACAGACTCAAACTCAGGGTTAAACACATCTGACACACCACTTGGACTTGAACCAAGCGACTCAAAGACTCAAACTCGACCTAGAACCAAGTGACTCCAGGCTTGACTCAAGTGACTCGACTAAATCTCTGAGAGAATGTGACGCTGGTTTCCAAAACAGCGGAAGCTTTTTGGAAGGCTCAGGACAAAACCCAAACAAAGACCACTCAAGGATTATTACCTCAGCATCTTGAAGCTTGGAATGGACCCCCTGTCACATCTAACAGACCACTTGGACTAATACTCCAACCAAGTGACTCAAAGACTCAAACTCGACCTAGAACCAAGTGACTCCAGGCTTGACTCAAGTGACTCGACTAAATCTCTGAAAGAATGTGACGCTGGTTTCCAAAACAGCGGAAGCTTTTTGGAGGACTCGGGGCAATACCCAAAACAAAGACCACTCAAGGATTATTACCTCAGCATCCAGACGCTCAGGAGGGACCCCCTTCATTCCGGCATAGACCGTGAGTTGTTCCTTCGCAGACAACGCCTCGATGATCGTGTTGTCCTGGGGACACACCCCCATCATGGACCGGATCTTCTGCATCTGTATGGGATCCCGGATGCTGTAGCCACAGATGGTGGCCTGGCCGCTGTCGGCCGTTATCAGGCCAGTCAGGGTGTTGATCAGGGTGGTCTTACCGGCCCCGTTGTGGCCCAACAGGCAGGTGATCTGGCCCTCGTAGACGTCCAGGCTCATTCCTGTCAACAACCATGGGACAACAGAACCATACTTCAAAGATGTACTGTCTGTGATCCGAGTTGATTTAGGACTGGATGACTTGTGATTGACCTGTGTTGACTAGTGATCCATAACAAATCACCGCTGTTTTCAGGGCGACATTAGGTTTGTGCGCATGTCTGTGCTTTAACTCGTATAATACTCCCTCTTGTGGTCGAATTGTATCCAGTCTCAGTCTCATTTTGTGTAAAAACAGCTCATCAGAGGACGTCTTTTCAATCACTTTTTTATACTACAAATAAGTTTTTATATTCGAGATATAACAATAAATCGACAGAAAAAAGACTATAATTTTTATCAGATGGGACTGTGAACTTTCCGGCAAGACACTTGATGAGAAAACACCTCCGAAAAATTACCTTTGATTGCGATGTTTATCAGTGGCTCAATCGGATACATTTTTGGGGTGTATATTTTTTTTAGGGGGGAGCTAATTTTTACCTTTGACAGCGAGAACATCAGGCTTCTTCCTGCCTCCTTTGAATGTCTTAGACAGATTGTGGATCCTGCAACAATACCAAAGTACAATTGACATTTCTTGCAGAGAAAAAAGTGAAAAAAGTACATACAGATCAAAAAATTGTGATAACATCAACTGAGCTGAAATTTCAGAAATTCATTAGTTATTCACCTTCATTTAAGATGATTTTTAATATTTTGTGTTGCCTCAAACACACAGAAAATTCATGAAAGGCAAATAACGCCATATACCTTTAAATGTTCTTAAAAAACAAAAGACTCAGATCTTATCTGAAGACTCTTTTAAAGTCGCCCTAAGTCGGCGACTGACTTTTCAGGATCAAGCTGCACCTTAAAGCAACAACCATCGGGAACATTTCAGTCGCCATTTGTTTAGCAACCTGAGTGCAACTACAATGATATTAAGATGATCACATCAATCAGCAATCAAAAAAAAAATATCAACAGTCGCAAGGGGAAAAAAATTCAACTCCTGCGCGCGACGGAAGGTGTTCTCGACAGGGGGGAATCAATTTTAGTCGACCTGTGTGACGTTACGACGTTATGCGTGCAACCAGATCATCTAATTTTCATCGCGTCGTAGTTGACGTAAGCATGGTTGCGAACATTCCGAGTTGAGATGATGTTTGTTGCACAATAATCACACAATTTCTCAGTTTTGTGGCCTGAGCAGGATTTGGGCTTGATGCTGACGGTTCCGTCTCAGCGCAAGCAAATCACAGGTTGACCTGCAGCTCGTAACTGGACACGCTGGACATGTAGGTTTCACCGCTTCTGTTCATGTTGAGGTCTAAGACAAAAAAAAGTCTCTGGTTTCTGGTATGGAGCTTGCCCCAAGAGCGGAGCAGCGACGCAAGGTTTTTTTTTGGCCCCAACTTTTTCTTTTCTTCAAATGTCGGCTGATGCTGCAGATGATGCTTTGATCCCCTTAAAACTCTCTCAAAAATATCATCTTCAGAGTGGAGCTTGAGGTGACCTCAGTAAGGCCATAAGGCTTGAGAATTCTGCACCCACTTAGGATCTCGACCGACACAAACATTTTTTTTGGAAATTTGGATAGTCAAGACAAAAATCACAGAAAACCGTAACGTCAGACCATACAGCGATATCAACATTGTTGATGAGCTGTCAGGCTGGTCATTAGTCTGCTCCCTTACATATTGCGCTAGTTAAAAAGCATTTACAGGTTCCAGATATATGACCATCGCTCCCTCAATCTGGCTTCCAGACGCACAATTACAAAATTACAACACCGTCTGCAAATGTTGCCCGACTAAATTTATTGCAAAACTGTATATGGGAGCCAAGAGAGTTAAAATTGTGCAGCAGCAGGATTCCATTCAACCAGTGAGTTTGGCGGTTTTGAGACATCATCTTACATTGAAAAAAACCTTTGTAATTTTGCCAATGTGCATTGGTATGGCAACGCACGCTGATCAGAAACCGGAGACTTAAGATTATGACTCAACTTTGACCCAATTGATTCACGACTCGGACTGGTCCTCAACCCAACTGACACATGACCCGGACTCAGCCTTGACCCAATTGACTTAAGATTATGACTCAGCTTTGACCCAATTGACTCACGACTCGGACTCGTCCTCGACCTAATTGACTCACGAACCAGACTCAGCCTTGACCCAATTGACTCAAGATTATGACTCGGCTTTGACCCATTTGATTCATAACTCGTCCTCGTCTCCAACCCAAATGACTCGTGACTTGGACTTGTCCACTCAACTGACTCACGACAGGACTTTTTATGGACTTATCTACATGAATTCATGAATGTCCTACCTGATGCCAGCCCTGTCCTTCATCTCTTGGTGCACCTTTTCCACATCTGGGAGGTCTTCCACAGCCTCGAGATCAAGCAGCCCTTCGACATCAGCCTGACCTCCACCAGAACTGCTGCCCCAGTAAGAAGGCATGCAGCAGAACCATAGCGGCTTACGCTGGCCGTAGGTCCCTGCAGGTCAATAGTCAAAGAAACCACACTTAGCCATGAGATATGCTGCCTCCAGATAAAATAAAAGTAAAGTCTGTCACGAGCCAATGTGGCCCATCAGGTCGGCGTTTATCTCCGGTTTCAGTAGCATGAAATGACTTAAAATATTTCTATTCCCCCTGGACGGGATCCTAGTCCATCGCAGGTTACGCCCCAGTTAATACCGGTGCCCATTTATACTCCTGGGTGGAGAGAGGCAAATGGGGGTGAAGTGGCTTGCCCAAGGCCACACTCCCTCCCCCCAGATAAAATAAATTGTAAACACTCGAGGTCGAGCAGTGGTCATGCTCTGGCCATTCCAAAATGCCGCACTGAAAGTGAAAGATATCTAGCAAATTAGCGCTCCCCTCATTCACAAGAGTTTGTAAAGTAATACTTTTTACCCATGAGCCTCATTTTATGTTTAAGATGTCATTTAAGACGTTATTTTACTGTGTTTTGACTTCCCGGACGCGCGGCGGAATCGGCCAATGACATGCTCCAATTTGATCATGGATATTTATGAGGTGAAGTTTTAAAAAAATATATTACCTGGTATCACGTTGTCAAAGTAGAAGGCCAAGAGCAGGTATAGCACACAGTCTATGGCCAGCATGGCGACATACGGTGGGAAACCATCCACGACAATGTTATCGAATTGGATACCAGGCCCTCCCTCATCCAAAAGGATAGCCTGAAGAGGAAAGACGATGCGTAAACCATTGTAACATAACCAAACTCATAATTTAAAATACATTAAAGGTATCAACTAAACACACCTGATCACTGGCTAGGGATAACACATCAGACGTCATATATACTTGTCATACACGCAAACTTGAATCCTCGATCCTGATTGGTCAATCCATGGCAACAACAGGGTATTGCAAGGACCACTCTGAACTGTGCGATCCTGTTATTCTAAGATACATGCGTTTTTCCCTGCATTCGTACGTAGCGAGATAGGTGGAATCTTACTTTTGCGTCAAGTCTGCATGAAGATTAAATTTAATTATGTTTTGCCCTTCACCGACATATAAACACTGTATACTCAGTGTGTTACCTCCCGAGTGAAAGTTGGAAAAATCACTCAGGTGGGACTCGAACCCACGACCTGTCGAGCGGTAAGACATCTGCCCATTAGAAGGCAGGAGGTCGTGGGTTCGAATCCCACCCGAGTGATTTTTCCAACTTTCACTCGGGAGGTAACACACTGAGTATACAGTGTTTATACATTGGTGAAGGGCAAAACCTAATTTGATTTACATCACTCCGACGCAAAAATCTCATCTTATGAATACTTAATGTGGTACCCGCTGCTATGCACATCAGATTCGAACCGGCCAACCGATCCCGCAAGCTCGGTGGTCGAGTGGTAAGATATCTGCACTAGAAAGCAGGAGGTTGTGGGTTCGAGTCCCACCTGAACGATTTTTCCAACTTTCACCCGGGAGGTAACACACTGAGTATACAGTGTTTACACGTTGGTGAAGGGCAAAACCTAATTTGATTTACAATCACCCCGACGCAAAAATCCCATCTTATGAAGACTAACGTTATTATCCCACTATGCAAACAATGCAACGCATCTGTGTTCCACGTGCCACTTCGGGCTTGTGGCAGACGCTTTACATTACTCCCCGTTCCGTTCCGGACAAGTATACATACCTGATCAATGGCCAGAGCAAACGCTATTGGCGAGAAAAACGACAGCAGCCACTTGAAGACAGTGTCTATGCCTGAAATCAGACCGAGCGGGATGTAGACCAACGACAGAGCCAGCGTGAACAACGTCCCCAGCGCTCCGGCCACGGTCGCCTTGTTGAAGAACGGCGTCAGCATGAATGACAGACAAATAACTGGAACAACATTTGGTGAAGAGAGATCGTGCGTTAGCAGGGCCGGGGTATTGGGAAGTTTTCTTAGTTTTAGGGAAATTAGGACCGAGTTGTCGGGACTTTCCAATGTCCGCAAGGTGTGTACTTGCTCTCCACTGTAACTATCGCTCAGCAGGTGTGTTTGCTTGTTTGGCAGCTCTCTAGGTAGTCTGAGCACGGACTAAAAAGGGCGGATTATTGCGGACGGCCATTAGCGTTCATCATTTGTATTTTGTGCATTATGTTGGTTTGAAGCAACAAATGTGCTCAAAATCTAAAGAAAGGTGCTGAACAACTAACCTCATGAAGTTTCAGCTCAGTGAATGCTGTATATTTTAAGAAAAACTACATTCTAGGATCTCGTTTTCAAATCAAAAGTTGCTGAGTCACGTTTTGAATTGGGACTGAATTCAGCGTCTGAGACACGTTCTCACTGAGCCGACCTCAGCTATGCGGTGTCCCGCAATGAACTGACAAATTATAGCAACCACCTGACCACGCGCGTGTACACTAAAAAGTTTCCCTAAAAGATATAGTCCATCATTTGTAATTTGTGCATTTTGTTCGTTTGAAGCAACAAAAGTGTTCAAAATCTAATGAAGAATACTGAACAACTAACCTGATGAAGTTTCAGCTAAGCTTCAGCTGTATATTCCGAGAAAAACAGCATTCTAGGATCTCAATTTCAAATCAAAAGTTACTGAATCATGTTTTGAATTTTTTTAATTGCAGCTATACGCGACGTCGCGCACTCATCCGACGAATTATAGCAACCGCGCGCGCGTGTGCGTCGTGCCAATGCTTGCGCGCTTCGCCGAATAACAAAACGAACTACTAATTTAAATTTTCCTACGGTGCGTCTTAAGACGCACCGTTGGAAAGGCCTTCTTTCGTTGATTACTTCAAAATGACAGCTAAACAGGGAGTTTAGTTCCCTTACTATCTTTCAACCAAGTTTGTTTTTCAACAATAATTACGCCAGTTACTTTTCGGATGGCTGCAAATGATGGACTATAGCTTTAAATGCTGAAGAGAATACATGAAGCCCCTTAGCTAATATTATTTACTCATTTTTTTCCATTTTAAAAAAAAAATTGGTTACTTCATGTACGTGTTTTCTCTTTAATTTCTTCATACTTACTTGTCATGCCGTAAAGGAACATGATGAGAAATATAATGAGGAAGTTTCCGTTGGAGACGTTCTGAATAGCGTATTTGCTGAGAAGGGTAACCACCAACGCAACCACCACCATGATAACGCAGTAGGTAATGAACCATGCAAGCCTGCGAGGTAAAAGAAATAGAAAAAATGACAGATACACTGTCCATTCTATTTGTCAAGTATTGACCTGAAAAAAAAAATCTAAATTGCTAATTTTCTAGCAAATATGTGACCTGTTCTGTCAAAATCAGACTTTTCTGGGCATAAGGTCGAAAATGAGATTTTTGCATATTGTTAAAATATGTACATTTTCCTTTTATTAGGTGGTTTAATTTTTGAAACCTGTAATTCCTGGGCAAAGTTATGCCGTTTTGAAGTTCATTGTGTCGAAAAGTAGAAAATGGTGAAAATGGCCATGAATGTCACAAAACAGACGATTCTTTAACTGATATACCTCAACAAATCATCAAAAATACTATATTAAGAGTTCAAATTAGGGTTTCAAACTTTGATAGTATATTTTAGATATGTTCAGGATTACAATATTCAAAAATTTGAAAATCGAAAAAAATCACCCCAACAGCGTTTTTTGGCCCTATCTCAATTTCAACCTCTGCCCAGAAGCGTCTGCTTTTGACAGAACAGGTCACATATAAGTTATTTACTTAAAATGAGTTTCAAATCAACCTCAAAGGGAAATTGACTAGTTGCATTATAATATAAAGTTGAACAAAGATACTGACTGGAGGGGGTTCGAACCTGCGACCTTGGGATTGCCATTCCAGCGCTCTAACAACTGAGCTAGCAAGCCTTACATTGGCAGTTCCCAGTGTTGTGGTCAAGCACTTTTTTCCCCGAGTACCGAGTACTGCCGAGTACTTAGGTTACCGAGTACGAGTATGAGTACAAGCACCTGTACAGGGTGAGTAAAAAAAAGCGAAACCCAAATGTCGGGACCATTGTTTTAAGTGAAGTTCTGCATGTAGCCCTTTCAAAATCTAGGATATGAAAGCCCAATTCATAAGCTTTCTGTTAGTTCAAGAATCATTCAAATCACTTATGTACTTTTCAAGCTACAAAATTTTAAACACAACCAACATTTTAAGGTTCTGTCAGCGAATCACAAGAAGGTAAGTGTTCTTTCAGCAAAACGAAAACAAATTACATAGGGTTTTGCTGAAAGAACGCACACTTTTTTTGTGATCCGTGGACAGAACTTTAAAAGGTGGTTTTGTTTGAAATTCCGTAACTTGAAAGCTACATAAGTGCTTTGAATGATTCTTGTACTAAAAGAAAGCTAATGAATTGGGCTTTCATATCCCTGATTTTCAAAGTGCTACTTGCAGAACTTCACTAAAACAATAGTCCCGACATTTGGGTTTCGCTTTTTTTTACTCATCCTGTACTTCCGAGTACAAGCACAGCTCGTGTGACCTTTTTAACAGCAGGAGGGTTAGACACAACATCAGAGTAGGTTTTTTTCTCTGTTAAAATCATTTACAATTTTAGTCTCAAAATGAGCCCTAAATTTCAATGCTTATTGGAAAATTTCTTTCTAAGAAGTCAAATCGGGCGATTCACATTGCAGTGCGCCACCAAGAGTTTTGCCATGGAGAGTCCATTTTTCAAGTTTACGGTAGTCTAGGGGGTAGACAGTGTTATTGTTTGATACGTGATAACCCGCCGCCGCGATAACCAGCCGCCGCGAGAGGGCGCTATCACGACCAACCAATATCACCCACGAACCCGTCAGAACAACGTCTAGGCCAATAGGCCATTTCCTAAAATCACCCCCCCCCCCCCCCCGGAAAAATGGGGGAAACTAGTGCGCATGCACGACTTCTGCAGGCCATTACGGTCTATTTTTCAGTCCCACACATACTACACACAACAAAAGAGCTGACCAGTGAAATTGCAAAAAAGTCTTGCTGCATCTTTTATACTACTTGAAGAAATTTGAGAGTTTGCTACGGAACTACTATGAATTTTTTGAATGCACGCTGCATATATTAGGCAAAACAGGTGCGCGCGCATTACACAACCAATAGGAATTGGCCTAGACGTTGTTCTGACGGGTTCGTGGGTGATATTGGTTGGTCATGATAGTGCCCTCTCGCGGCGGCCGGTTATCCCGGTGGCAGGTTATCGCGTATCAAACAATAACAAAGTCTAGCCCCTAGACTAAGTTTACGGTCGACAAAACATGGCCCATTTGAATGAGTGTCAGTAGACAACTTGTGCTAATTTGATATAGACTGGGGCATAGCATTCTACCTCCTTACAAAAAAAAAAACCTGACAAAAATAAAATAAAACGGCAAACATATACTCTAATCACACGCTAACAAAACTACTGACCGGAAAAGCTAACAATTTCAAATGTCCTGCGCTGCGAATTTGTCCACCATCTCCCACAATGCACTGGGAAAAATTAACTCTCCGTGGCAAACTCTTGGTGGCGCACTGCATTGTGAATTGCCCGAATTAAACGCAGAACTGAACTCACCAGAAGGGGCCACTAGACATTCCCATCATCAACATGGTCTCTTTGATCTTCTTCTCTTTCTCGTAGACGATGGAGGACAGCAGCGTGGCGACAAAAATGGAGTACATCAGCACATAGTAGATGGTGGAGAAGAGGCGAGGGAAGGCTGAGGCTTGGACGAAACGATCCTTGGGGAACATCCGGACAGAGACCTCCGGCAGGGGGAGGGACTGATTGGTCTGCATCTGTGACACACATGTAAGGACAATTATCTAAAGGCCCTGTCAGACTGCCTGTGATCATATATGCGCTCTCACTGCGTCCTTGAAAAATGGCTGGGGCGCAACAACAACTACTAGATCGCAGCGACAACTACATAGGTCGCCAGATGGGCGCCACAGGTCTTAATAGTCTCCGATGAGCACCAAAGTTTTTGAACATGCTGAAAAACAATTGGAGCACCTCTGCACTCTGGCAGGGCGCCGTAATGACGTATCTGGGGCGCTGTGCGAGCGTGAATCATGCAACATAGACATGCATTGACGCAGGGTAGGCGCAAGGCAGTCGATGTGGTCTCCATGGGAAAGTAACTCGATTTGCGATGAACTTGTAGAACAAATTTGAAACTGGCCTGCAGATTGACCGTTTTGTCGTGAGAGCGTGACGCGAGCTACTAGGACGTATCAACAGTGAGCAGAGTGCAGTGACAGCGCAGCAGCAGCGACTAAATCGAGTAGTTGGGCTTGAAAGGGGCACACAGAGAGCGAATTGAGCGCATCGTAAGTGCAGGATGAGCGCAGGACGAGCCTGGACAAAATAATGGTCTGATGGACAAAATAATGGTCTGATGCAAAATTCATGTGAATAAAATTTTATTCAAATAAAACTTACTGAGGAGACAACATTCTGTAGTACAGTTTGCAGAACTGCGAAGCCAGAAAACAGATATCCGTTGGCAGGACAGTTGTAGTTGACCAGTCCAGGAGGCTCTCCGTAGGATGCACGGCATGAAGCTGTTGGATGAAAATAGCAATCCAAAGAGAGGTCGAGACTTTTCTCAAAGTAAGGAATTCCCTCCGTGCTCACATCCCTCACAATGTATGACTTAAAGGAAGCATCCTTCATTTGTAATTTGTGCATTATGTTCATTTGAAGCAACAAAAAGTGCTCAAAATCTAGAGAAGGGTGCTGAACAGCTAACCTGAAGAACTTTCAGCTCAGTGAATGCTATATATTCCTAGAAACCATAATTCTAGGATCTCGATTTCAAATCAAAAGTTGCCGAGTTGTTTGAATTGGGCCTGAATTCAGCATCCGAGACACGTTTTCACCGAGCTGATTGCAGCTACGCGATGTCGTGCACTGTAATGATGCGTCTTTAGACGCATCGTTGAAAAGGCCTTCTTTCATCGATTTCTTCAAAATGACAGTATGCCATAAATAATAATTTCACAGGGAGTTTAGTTCCTTAGTATCTTTCAACCAAGTATGTTTTTCATCAATAATTGCGTCAGTTACTACATGTTTGTATTTGGATAGCTGCAAATGATGGACTGTAGCTTGAAGGTGTTAGGCAGGCTTTGCAGATTGGCAAGCCCTTAGACTGCTGAAGTTTGCAGATGGTCTGCAGACTTTGTTTTGAAGCTTCGACCTTACACGTACCTTGTGAAGCAAACCGGGAGTCGCTGCCGGTGGGCGGCATCTGCTCGAACGGCATGCGTATAGCCACCTCGAGGTTCTGCGGGAAGTCCGCGCCGAAGACGACACCGATGGTGAACGGAGGCGTCCCCTGCGTCTGGTAAGCCGCCGCCATGCTCGCCTCGTCAGCGAAGGACACAAACTGCGATGGCGCATCATCGCCGAGGGCACTCTTGATCCTGTCCATCACCTCCAGGGTGTCGGTGTTGTTGGGCGTGAACGCCCAGGGCTTGGAGGCGTTCGGCTTAAACATTTGCACGCTGCCGTTGGCGTCCAGCATTGGGTAGTTTTGGAAATTGTTGTAGGGGACGGCTTCGTAGATCCGCGGCTTGTTGGTCAGATTGACAATGGCGATGGTGGCAACGATCAAAATGGGTACGAAAAATTCCTTTGATGGTAGGTGAAGGGGGGAGGAAGAAGTCAAGATTAAATACTGCTTATGACCTCCCTCATCTGGGATCTGAAGCACATAATCTTTTGGACTTGGCAACAAAATTTTGAACAAGGACAGAAGCAGGACCGAAGCTGCCAACACTAGCGAACATTATGCAAATATTGAATGCTTCGAGTGGTGTAGTAAAACTAGCCTCCCGAGGCCATTCTATGGACCATTCTATTTTCCCGAGGTGAAGCCGAGGGAAAATAGAATGGTCCATGGATCACCGAGGGAGGCTAGTTTTACTTCACCACGAGATAAAGCATTCAATATTTGTTTTATAACACTTCACCCACAGATTCTGCTTGATTTTAATATTTTACATTATTTAAATCTGAACACAGTTGAAATAAACTTCAATTTCAATACAAAATTGGTGGAAAATGTATTTCTCTCTTAAAAACTAACCCTTCACGAAATGTTTGAACCCAAGTCTGCGGCGCACTCTCTTTGGAATAAAACGCGCTACGCACAACGCGCAACGCGCACACCAGCATGCATTTGCACACAAATACCGCGCCGTGGAAATAGTACTTTGGTTGCTAATGGTATAGTACTTTGGTTGCTATGCGCATAGCACTTTTGGCCGTGCACAGAAAGATAGCAAAATTAGAAGTAACATGTGACTCGCTCTCGGCCAATCAAGACACAGAATCTGTGGGTGAGGAGTTATAATATGTTACATATCATGCTTCAATCAGTCAACCCCTCCTAGGCCAACATGCATTCTGTGCCAAGTTGTCCGTTCAGTCAAAATCAATCAAGTGACTATTTTCAACAGTTAAGAGCTCCCAGCCTACGGTACATAAAGCAGGGTTGACTGGCTGTGACTGTAACTTGATACAGCTATGCTTTGACTGTAGGTGATTGATAAGCAAGAACATAGCCAAACAACTTAAGCACGCCACGACGGTTACAAAACGTCACGGCCAAAGTCATCTGCAGCGGATATGCGCACGAGTTTGCGTTGTTCGCGCAAAGCAAAAGGAAATGCTCATTTACTGATTGTGCATTTCGGTTTTGTGCGTATCGGCTTCGATAACGCACCTGTATAGAATACAAACACAGATATTTTTAGCCGTACAAAAGCCGTACAAAATTTCAGGTTTTCCATACATGTATGTTTGTGCACACAACCCCACTTTAAATTTCTTACCTGAAATAACATCTGGCCCGATCGTATCTTAATCAAGAAGTTCCGATAGAGGAGATAATATGTCTGACGCCAGAATGACGCTGCCATGATGGTACTTTGTATCGGCCACTCTATTTATATGTATCACTTCTGAAAAAAAAAAAATAGGACAGAAAAAGTCAATCCAGTCATCACCGACTGTCAAAAAAGAACTGTTGCCATTAATTTCATTTTTTTTCCCTTAACATTTTAATCTGGCATGGGAGATGTGACCAACAACTTGATATAATCACTCAGATTTATGGCCAAACGCTTCCAGTACACAGCTGCAGAAAGATTGATGATCAGATTTTTTGAAAGCTGTGGATTCCCCTGCACGAGTACTGTCCCTCAGCAGTTCCAACTGTTAAGTGGAACATCCAAATGCATAGCCGACAACGCCCAATGTTCACATGAAGATGCCATAGGCTTGAGCACACTCAGAATAACATTAGTTATGCCTGCATGCACTTTAATTGTGCCATACGCGCAGAAATCAGTGTGTGCATGCGTCCAAGAGCTGTCACAAGTAGTACATGTACATGTACACATACAAAGTCTAGCACAATGTGCACTACCACATGTCATATGTGGGTCATTCCACCGGGTTGGGGAACAATATGTGTGACATATGACCATATTATGAAAAGCAGTTGCTCTACATAATGTCTGTTGTTGGGTGTTTCACTACTGCAGATAGTTTGAAATCATTTCAAAGCATTTTGCCAAAAATATGAGCAAAAAATGTCATTTTGGATGTAACATTGACACCGTGTCAATGTTACGTCCAAATATGACATTTGAACCTTTTTTTAAAATTTCTGCGAAACATTACCCAAATTCACTTTGCGTACTTCTTACTATACATGCAACACAATAAGAAAAGCTTTTGTTATGGTAGTCAGGTATCAAATGGAGTAGAAATGATAGCTTGGTTGTGTGGATGTAACATTTACACGGCGTAAAACCCAAATGTCACACTTCCATTGAGTGATTTTTACACCGTTACATCCACACTTGAGGTATTGTTTCTGCTATATTTGAACCCCGACTATACCAAACAAAAGCTTTTCTTGGTGCTTAGGTGTCCAGTTGTAAATATGCAATGTCAGTTTGGGTAATATTTTACATACGTGTAAAAAATGGCAAAAAAGAATATTTGGATGTAACATTGACACGGTGTCAATGTTACGTCTGAATTAATACATTTTTGCTCATATTTTGTCAAATTACTTTCAAATGATTTCAAACTTTCTCAAGTATTGAAACACCCTAAGACACATATTATGTTGAGCAATTGTTTAGAATGCATTGATACTTTTCATAATATAACCAAATATATGGATGTAACATGCACTGTTTCCCAACCCGGTGAAATGCCCCATGTCCAAACAGTCCAATCCAAAGTGTACTTTCCAATGTGATGTTCTCATTCGAGATTAAAAGCAAACAGCTCCATGGTGATACCATACACATGTGCTGGTACTAGCACGTTTGTTTATGGTGTACATGTAAATTGTAGATTTTTCTATTGTTCCTCTTCCCTTTTCCTTTGTTTATACCTTAACTTTTTTGCAACAGCTCTCATTGGTTTTGTACACGTATTCCTACCGAGGAGTCCTTGGTTTGGTTTGGTTCATCGATGATGTTGCATGTGTGTTTCCTTGATTTTCACCATAACAAACGCTTCAATGCACACATATGCCAGATTGCATGCAACGATCAACTACGATACAATTACATACAAACATGTACAATTTCATGAGTTCTAAACATGTACCTGTACTACATGTATTTATTTTGCAGTCATGTATTTATTTTGTAGATTATATTTCTAAGTTTTTCACTTTTCAGCGAGTGCAAGAATCCTAACATCAATCTGAAAACAGATTCCAGTTGAGTTTTGTTAAGTTTACTCTTCAGTGATAAAGTTACATGTGGAGTATCATTTGTCAAAAGTGCTCAAAATCTAAAGAAGGGTACTTAACAACTACCTGTTTAAAGGGAATGTACATCATTGGCTTTTGCTGTAATTTTCAGAAATGAACTATTTGAGGGGTTAGTATAATAGGTCAAATATTGTTTAACTGACATGTTTGAAGTTTTGTGTTCGAAAATGCTTGAAAAACCAAGAAAAACACAACCGTTTATGTAGTCTGGTTCCCTGACTCCACTAAAGATAAAATGGATCAATCATAGATGTCGGAAAATTGTAAGATAAGGGAACCAGTCTAGCTGGCCTGCACCCGTTTATGAACTTGTAACCAATAGCAAACAAAATTTGGACTGACAAAAAATTTGTAAATTTGGAGCAGTAGTTGAAAAATAGTTAGGTTTTTCCAACGGTGGTCGGCCGACCACCGTTGGAAATGTATACAAAAATACCATTTTCTTGAAAATGACTTCACACCAGGTGCCATAATTTTACAGGATGCTTTAGACTGTCATTTACCAACATCCTAGTAAGTTATTTCGTAAAAACTTGGTAGTTTTATTTTTTGATGTTTGCAAATGTTGTATATTCCCTTTAAGTTTTAGCTCAGTGAATGCTGTTTATTCCGAGAAAGCAATATTCTAGGATCTGGATTTCAATTCACACGTTGCTGAGCCATGTTTTGAATTGCACACCCGAAATCAGCGTCCGGGACACATTCTCACTCAGCGAATTGCAGCTATACATGTAAAAACAAGGTCACACACTGAACTGACAAATTAAAGCAGTTGCGTGCATGTGTGCATGCATGCTTGCACGCACCCATTCACGGCTTTGCCGAATTAAAAAAATGCATCTTTGGACATGACCTTCTTTTACTGCTTTCTTCACAATGACAGCATTCCAGAAAAGAATTCAACAATAATTTCATCAGTCACTTCTTGGATTACTGCAAATAGTATACTCTACCTTTAAAAGATGAAGTTGAACTGAAATATGTGTAATAATTACTCCGAGGTGCTGCTGGAATCCACTTTCAGCTAAGAATGTTTTGTTGACCATATTCCGTCCTTTTTATACACAACCAAGACTAGTTGGTCATACTATGGTGGAAAATTCCACTTTCCAGTATCTCTTTCATGGAACGCTGTCATTATAATAGGCACGTGCATTCGTATCATGGGACAAGGATTGTACAAGGACGCACAGTGATGATGAGTCACCATGGTGCATTGTAAGTACTGCACCTACATGTACATGTACATGTGGGATATTACATAACAAGTCTTTGTGCTACCTCCATGTTTATATGTACACCAACTAGACTGCAATGTTTACCTACTGGGATTGTCAACATTTACATTTTGTTTGGAATAACTACAGTAATGTAGAATTAATCACTAATAGGGTGGTCAATTTTTGAAATAATTTTTTTAGTATTTGATTATTCGAAACCGCACCCAACTACAAAACTCGCCTATCAAGTTTTACACACAAAAGTTGATCAAAAGTTGCAAACAAAGTGTGTCAGTTAAAATTTGCATGTGGCGATGGATATGTTAGGCCACCCTATCTTGACAGCCCCTACCCTAATTTTTTTTATGGGAAAAATGGGAAGGAAAAAACACCCAAACCCATAAATTTCTACCTTTTACCCTTGATTACATGCAGATGCCTCCATATGATCGTACACAAAAAAAATAACATGTACTTATAAAACTGTCCAGGGACTTTACCCAGTTAAGAATGGGACCAATAGGCATTGACAAGAAAGTTACAGTTGACAAAAAAAGTGGCATATGTCAACAAAAATGCAACTTAACGATTAAAATGACACCACAGTTGTGTGTGCACGAATATTCAAACTGGTAAAAAGCTATTCTAGTATTTGGTTGATGATCTAATATTCGAGAGAGTCTTCTGATCATGCGTTCACCCTACAGAAGTAAGATACCACACTAAAGCCAAACTGACAGACTTGTTTATGGGAATCTAGTGCATGTATGGGCGTCAATCCTTGGGGGACAGGGGGACATGTCCCCCCTCCCCCCACTTTTTGAAGGGTGGGGGACACAATATCAAATGTCCCCCCCAGATTTTTGAACTCGTGCCTCATTTACAGGGCCCATATTATGTACTACAATGTATCTTTTGCTAAGAAAATATTGGTTAAAGTGGTCAGAAATTGCCTCAGATTTGCATTTAGAATCCAAAATTTTTCGGGGCCCTCAGGCCCTGAACCCCACGCCTTTAGCTGAGAATATACAGCTTATTCAATGACTTCAACCTCGAAAATGATGTTTAAATCATTATCTTTTGCTGGGAAAATATTGGTTAAAGTGGTCAGAAATTGCCTCAGATCACACCACATGAGCATCTAGAATCCAAATTTTTTCGGGGCCCTTAAGCGGGCCCCGAACCCCACGCCTTTAGCTGAGAATATAACAGCTTATTCAATGACTTCAACCTCGAAAATGATGTTTAAATCATTATCTTTCGCTGGGAAAATATTGGTTAAAGTGGTCAGAAATTGCCTCAGATCACACCACATGAGCATCTAGAATCCAAATTTTTTGGGGCCCTTAAGCGGGCCCCGAACCCCACGCTGTAAGGGCTTCGCACTTCGCGCTTGCATTATTTCTGATCAAGGTATGTCCCCCCCCCCACTTTTGAGAAGCGATTGACGCCCCTGAGTGCATGGTTTAGGAATCAACCAGCCACGTGCATACGTGTTTTGGTAAAGAATAGGAAGAAATTTGGTAGATAAACAAGTATATGTGTCTTATCTTCAAAACACCCCAAAAATAAACTTGCATGTGATTGATGTTAAACACACTCTTATCAATCATAAATAACAGCTTATCAATCATATTAACGGATAGGGTAGATCATTTGTCTTTTGTGATATTTTTTTCGTTGGAGGCAACAAAAGTGCTCAAAATAAGAGACGGGTGCGCAACAACTATTATAGCTTTAGCTCCGTGAATGCTGTGTATTCTGAGAAAACGATATTCTAGGATCTCGATTTCAATTCAAAAGTAATTGCCGAGTCAAGTTTTGACTTGCAAGCCCGAAATCAGCGTCCGGGACACAGTCTCATTCAGCCGATTGCAGCTACGCGATGTCACGCTCTGAACCAACTTATCATAGCCACGCCGCGCGTGCGTGTCGTGTCAACGCTTGCACGCAACAGGGCTTCGCCATATTAAAAACGAACAACTAACGGAAATTTTCAAATTTATGAATCTTTAGACGCATCTTTGTCCATGACCATCTTTTGTTTTCTTCTTCAGAATGACAGCATGCCTGAAAGAATAATTTCACAGGGAGTTTACTAGTGCCATTACTACCGGTATCTGTAACCCTAACAGAACTCAACCCACCAAACCCCAATGGCATGTTTTGTTGGAATCTGTCAGGATGGGTACAGCACCCCTAAACTGAGTCTTTTACATTGGGTTGGCACACCTCCAGAATCAAAGTCAGAAATAATTATGTGTGCGCAGTTTCCCAAACGGTGTTGGAATTTGCCAGGATGGGTAGGCCTATATGGTTCCTAGTAAATCATGCTAGGGAGTTAGACCAAGTATGCTTTTCAACAATAATTTCATTAGTTACTTTTTGACAAGCTGCAAATGATATACAATGTAGCCTACTAATCTGGTCTTTAAAAATATAAAGTTGAATTGAAATATGTGTAGCTTAGAGATGCTGCTGAAATCACTTTCAGCTAAAATTGCTTGACGACCATTCCAATCATCCACGGAGGAAGGAACACAAAACATTTTTGTATACACAACCGGAACTAATTGGTCATACTCTGGTGGAAAATTTGAGTCTCCCTTTCATGGAATGCTGCCATTGTAACATATTCATATGGGCCAAGGTCAGCAAATGATTCATGTGCATTTCCTAACCATGCCCCAATGTGAATATGTTACAATGGCAGCATTCCATGAAAGGGAGACTGTAATTTAAGCCAAAATATCAAGTTCAAAAAAATCCTTGCCCTTTTTTGCTTTTAGATATTACACAATACATTAACACTCCCAATAAGAGATTGCATATTTCAACTTTTTTTTCCTGTAAATTTAAAAGTTGAGACTTCTCAATGAGACACCAAGCGTGAAAATCAACCCAGATTTAGTTACTGAATAACTTTACAAATTTTAAATTGTTTTTGGCCACTTTTGGTGCTGAAATACCGTAGCCGTATTAACATTGAGGTTTCTGCCGGAAATGACATCACACATAAACTTATGTATTTGGAAATTTGCACAAGCATAAAAACCAAAAAAGGCACCAAAATACCATTGAAAATGGCAAAACGAAATTGAAAATGAGGTTAAATGGGACACAAAAGTGCCTTTTCAAAGATTGCATTAAAAATTAAAAAAAAAACAGCCCTTTTAAAGGGAATATACATCATTGGCTTTTGCTGCAATTTTCAGAAATGAACTATTTGAGGGGTTAGTATAATAGATCAAATATTGTTTAACTGACATGTTTGAAGTTTTGTGTTCGAAAATGCTTGAAAAACCAAGAAAAACAAAAATGTTTAAGTAGTCTGGTTCCCTGACTCCACTAAAGATAAAATGGATCAATTTTTAGATGTCAGAAAATTGTAAGGTAAGGGAACCAGTCTAGCTCATGAACATGAACCCGTTCATGAACATGTAACCAATAGCAAACAAAATTTGGACTGACAAAAAATTGTAAATTTGGAGTAGTAGTTGAAAAATAGTTAGGTTTTTCCAACGGTAGTCGGCCGACCACCGTTGGAAATGTATACAAAAATACCATTTTCTTAAAAATGACTTGACACCAGGTGCCATAATTTTAAAGGATGCTTTAGGCTGGCATTTACCAACACCCTAGTAAGGTATTTCATAAAAACTTGGTAGTTTTATTTTTCGATGTTTGCAAATGTTGTATATTCCCTTTAATGCATTTATCCTCTTTTTTATGAGATGATGAGAAGCAAACTACTTTGTACTTACCCAACAAATAAACGAAATTCTTTGAAGTACTTGAAAAGTAAATTACTAAGTACCAAGGTTTGGTAGCAAGGACAGGAAAATGTCACACTTTGGAAATTTACAGATTGGCCCACATGCAAATTTTAAAGATATAGTCCATCATTTGTAATTTGTGCATTTTGTTCGTTTGAAGCAACAAAAGTGCTCAAAATCTAATGAAGGATACTGAACAAATAACCTGATGAAGTTTCAGCTCAGCTTCAGCTGTATATTCCGAGAAAAACAGCATTCTAGGATCTCAATTTCAAATCAAAAGTTGCTGAATCATGTTTTGAATTGTTTTGAGTTGCAGCTATACGCGATGTCGTGCACTGATCCGACGAATTATAGCAACCGCGCGCGCCTGTGCGTCGTGCCAATGCTTGCGCACGCTGCACCGAATAACAAAACGAACTACTAATTTAAATGTTCCTACGGTGCGTCTTAAGACGCACCGTTGGAAAGGCCTTCTTTCGTTGATTACTTCAAAATGATAGCTTGCCAGAAAAATTAATTTCACAGGGAGTTTAGTCCACTTACTGTCTTTCAACCAAGTATGTTTTTCAACAATAATATGCCAGTTACTTTTTCGGATGGCTGCAAATGATGGACTATAGCTTTAATATGCCTCAACAAATACCCTCCACATTGCCTTTTTATATTGAACAATTTACTGTGCCAATTTAATTCAAACTAACATAACAAATTTTGAAGAGTTGTGTCAAAAACTACAACCATGACAATTACATGTTACAATGTAGGGCCTACCGATAGATAGGCATGCTGTTACTGGCAATGTATGTTTAACTGAAATTGGTTCAAAGTTCGAGTGGGATTTCGAGTCCTGCCCTTAAGAACACAATAAGAAAAGGTTTGCTTTTTCCATAAAATGCTTTTCATCAGGCTCATTGTGGCAACAACTAGTATTGTGTAAATATCAGGGTGTGGTTCTACTCAATATTTCTACTTTTCAATTTTGCAATTTCAACGGTAAGGAAGGGAGAGTTGGGGAGACCACATTTTGAGTGACATTCCAATGCATGATTGCCGATGACGCCTGATGCTGACACGCAAAGACGCTATGGCTCTGTGCACATAAACAAGTCGTGCTTAATTTGCGCTATACACGTCCGATTCCAAACCGGAATGCGCACGCTGTGTGTG